ACACTATTTTATCGTAATTGATGTTACTTTTTAGATTTTTTTTTTTTGTTATAATTAATATTTTTTTTTGGATTGATTGATTTTATGCAAATATTTTTTTAATATTTTAGTGCATTAATATATCTTCCATCGCATGTATTAATATTATGAATGTAAATAGATAGCATTAAATTGTATTTGGCTATATTAAAAAAGTGTTTAAAAAAAAATGTAAAAATTTGATTATATCTCGGTACACCATCATGTCATTACCAAATTGATAACACTGATAAAGCCACTTTCCATAAATGCTATTGATAATAACATAAATATTCTATAGTTATTTGAATTGAAATACTCAAAGATTAATTAAATACTTGAAAAAAATGAAATCCATCTAGTATTTCACTCCAAAAATTGCTTATTTTTTATCCAAATTAAATTACACCAATCAATTATAACAGTTATTAATAAATATAGATTAAATATATTAGCGGTGCCAACAATCCATTTCTCTTGAGACTTCTACAACAATTCAGTTATTTGATAATCAGATCAAATGACCAGCTGCTGCTATATTTCCGCATGCTGTAGTAGAGAGGAAATAGTTAAAGATATATATAATTTTGGAGACATTTACTGATTATTTATGTGTGAAAATTATAATGGCTAAAAAAAATAGAGAAGTAATTCATCAGACCCACAAACAATTTGAGATAATTTTGCTTAATCAATAATTTTGTCAATGTTATCAATATATTCAGTTCTATATTGATTGATGATAATTATAAATTTGTACTTTTCTTCTTGCTATTACATGATTACTTATATGTCTTGCTATATATATATATATATATACACTTAAATAACTTAAAAAAATAAACTTTTTGGAAAATTTATCTTTTTTTTTGTCTTTCTAATTATTTGAATCGGTTTCTTTTCTCTCGCTCTTTTCCTGCAAAACTTCTTACTAGTTGAAAATAGTAAGTAACAAGCTAAGTGGAAAATAATAAGTCAACTATGAATATAGTATCATCACCACTATTTAGCTAACATGATAGGAGCGGAAATTGAAGAAGACAAGCAAGACAGGGGCGGAAATGGTAGACAGCAAGACATATTCTAAAGCATTTTTTTGATAGCAATGGTAGAAAAATGAAATAGATAAGTGTATGTTTGTATATATGTATGTATGTATGGTAGAAGAGGAAATGGACGAAGGCGCACTTAGGACTAAGCGACACGTCTCAGTTGCATGCGATGTCGCTTGTTTGTTTTATTGAGCCAAGGAATGAGTGTTTGCATGCATTCATTTGCATGCTACTTTCGGATGTATTTTATAGCTTAAAGGGATGAAAGCTGGAAGCTGCTAATTCGTTGTGACCAGTAAATGAGAACAGAGAGAAATGTAAAATGAGCAAACTGAGCCTTCGTCTATTCTCCTTTCTCTCTTTTTTTTTTTTTTTAACATTCCTACAAATATTTACTTAATTGTATTAGTGAATTCAGTCAATCGGTCATTAAATATGCATGCTAATTGATTATTTTATATTACATAGATCAGTAAAGCAAATTAATTAATTAATTAATCAGTCAGCAAATCAATTCATGGATCATTTTTACTATTGTAGATTATGAAGGTTTTGTTAAAATTTAAAAAGAGAAAAAAGCGAAAGTATTAAAAATATGCGATATTATAGCTATAATTTGATATGAGCAATTTTCGACATAGCGTACGTTTTATGTAGGATTATTTACGTAATAAGATGATGTATGTAATTTAAAACATGTAAGGATGTAATGATTACAAAAAAAGAAAATGCATAAATAATGGTAAAAAGTTAGAAAAGCTATGTTATAATATGACATTAATTGTTGTTTAAAAAAAATTTCAATAAAATTAAGTTAGTTACTGATAACAACTATTATCATTAAATATTCATTCAAAAAACGATCCTAAATTTTTTCTTTTCAGCAATAATACTTTTCATTTTTCATGAAATTATCATATAGCTAATTACCTTCTTCTTTATTTTGTGCATAATCTTATCATTCAAATTTCAAAATTTCTAAGATCTCCAAGTGAAAAATATTTTAAACTGTAAAACTGTTATCATTTTATTATTTTTTTGAATTAGTTAGACATTCAATTACAAACGATATTTTTAAATCATCGATTATATATTTTTTTTTTTTTATTTTACGATAATTGAACATGATGTCTCATCTTCCGTTATTTTGCAATCAAAGAAAAGAAGGAAACAAAAATGTAAAAAATGTGGAAAAACAATTAAACGTGTAAAATTAAGTGGTTCTCATTGGATGATTAATTAACAATTATCATTCTTTTTCATCATTTCTTCATTAACAATTCTTTTTTCATAATATTATTATTTTATTCCAAATATCTTTCATGAAATTAAAGGTTAGATTTTGATTTCTTTTTTTTTTTTTTAAATCATTTTTATTAAAAATTATAATGCGATAAAGATTTTCTTGCATATCATTCAATTTATACGGTATAATCCATAACTTTTTTCTATCAAATATTATCATTTTTTAAACTATGTCAGTTATCATTATCAGCCAGCATTCTCTCTTTTCTCAATTAATGTTATCACTTATGAGCGTTGTCATTAACTCTTGTCGGTCTCTATCAATGGAATAACGAACTTTCATTTCACTTAAAAAAAAGTTGTGCGGATTGTTTTCAAGAATATTTACTAAGTACGTTTCATGCTACCAATTTTTACATCATTTTTTTTTTTTGTTTAATAATAATTTTGCAAATAAATTGATAGTTAAGAAAACTAACATTCTGATTGAAATATTTGCGTGCATATTTTACCCATTCTAATCGGTTATTTCATTATTTTGGTCTTTGACTTTTCATTAAAATGGACTTTTTTTCCAATCATTCTGGCTCATTTAGGAAACTCTCAGCAAAATCCTTATTGCTGGGCCAGATTTGGTCATTGTTTACTTACAACTAAGAATTTAAGCAAATATTTTTAATTCCAATGAAAATGAATTTGGAGACAAATTGAATTTTGCTATTTCTCAGTTTACTAATTGAACATCCATTTTGTTACTAATATTTTTGTTTTGAATTCATAGAATCTTAAAATGAATTTATTGGAACTTATTAATTACTTCTCTATATCAAAATAATTTTAAAAAACGATAAAATTAAAAGGCTTTTCTTGTTATTGTGAATGCTTATTTCCAATATTTAATCACAGCTTAATAATTAGTGTATTAAGATGTGATTTTTAAAAAGAAAATACCATTTCTTCTTTTTTTAATTTCATTTCCTTTTTTCTTTTATTTCTTTTATTTTTATTTAAAATATAATAAGAAGCCATCAAAAATTGCTAGGAAATTTTTATTTGGTCAATAATTTATGGAAAAGTTTTTTAAATTTCTTGTCTAATTTTAATGTCTAATTTCTTTATTCTATTATTTATTTATTTGTTTTTTGTTTTTTTTTTTTTTTTTTTTGCTTTTTGTTTTGTTTTGAAAAAAATGACTAAATGAAAACAAATGGGTAGTTAATTTTAAAAGTACAATTTAGTATGCTAAATAAAAATGGCGCTATATGTATATATTTTTAAAAAAAAATTTCATTTCTTCTTTTTAATTTTGTTTTCTTTTTTCATTCCTTTATTTCTTTCATTTTTATTTTTATTTTGCTTTCATCCATTCAATCTTTCTTCTGTCTTCTTACTTCTTTTTGCTCATCAACAATTGAAAAAGAACGTAAAGTTGGATGACTAAAAGTATCAGATGAATTTTATGCTCAGATATCGATTTCTATTATTTTTCTATTTAAAATAAAATCAAATTTCAACAAAGTTTTTCATTGTCACTTTCACTACTAAATTGCACTTTTTTCAACTTATTACGCTGTAAATTTAGTTAATTTTGTCTGATTGTCTGTAATATTAATAACATTTAGTAGATTGTATGTCTTATATAATATAGCATTAATGGCTGTTGAGGAAGTTTATGAGTAAATGTTGAGAATATTAGATCAAATAGTTTCAATCTGATAATAATTCATCTCAGAATGAATAAATAAGACGGACGGGAGGATTGCCTTAGATTATAAAAACGTAAATTAATTATTAAATCATTTTACAATAAATTATCTAAAGGGGATATCACGAAAGATAAGAAATTTGTGAAAGATTAAATTTAAAATTTTTAAGATAATTGTAAGCCATTTGTTATTTTGCTACACTTTTTCTATGACAAATAAAAGATTAAGTTGAAATGTAAAATTTGAATGTTTAAAATTGAAATTTCCAAAATTTATACTTTTTTCCTTTTTTGACAAAAATTGGACAAAATATTTATTTCATCTATAAGTTTTAATTTTATATAAAGCAAAGTGAAATATTAATTTAGATTAAATCCAACTCTAACAATACTTTCACCTTTAATTAAGTAATCATTAAATTTCAAATCATTCCACACTTTTTTTCCTTTGTTTCGGTTTTTTAAATAATTTTTAATTCAGTCATTAACAAATTTTTTTCTTTGAAAAATAAACAAAACTTGGTGAATTTAAAAAGTTACTGATGAAACTTTTTTTCTTTTCTTTTTCAGGACAAAAAAATTTTTCCTCTCCTAGTGTTTACATTTCAATTAAGTAACTTTGTTTATATTAGTATGTCAGTATTATTATTGTTGTGTTAATGATGAATGATTCGATAGCTTTGTCGTAGAAGTTTTAATTCATTTTTTTTTTTTATTAGTTTTAATATTTCAATTTAATATAACAGTTTTGGCTTTTTTCATATATGTTAGAATGTTGTACAAATCAAATGTGTCGCCTTTAATTTAACAAATTTAAATTTCAGTCTTCAAAATAGGTGTTTTAAAACAGTGAAGATATGTGAAAATTTGGAAAATACCAAGCCATTTTTTCTTATTTTTTTGTTCAAATATTTTGTTTTTGGCTCGATTTTCATCTTTTATTAACTTTTCTCTTTTCTTCTGTTTTACTTTGTCTCCTATCTTTCTTTTTTTTTCTCCCTCTCTCCTTTTCTCTTTCATCAGAATGAACAAGAGAAGAGAGGATGAAAAAATTGTTTCACAAAGAGAGAAAATGTAATTTATTCATATTGTTTAATAAATCTTTTTTTTTAAAATTTAATTCGGTAAATTAATAAATCTTATTGTCAAAGAAATTTATTATCAGCAGAAATTGAATTGCCTAATTTTTTTTAACAAATTTTTTCCTACAACAACTTTACTTTTCGATTTTTGTGATAGTGCATTTATTCGATCATTGCTATTTTCAACCTATAAACAACGAGTTAGTAAGTAAATAATTTACTGATTATTAATTTGCATTAATATTAGTGAGGCCCTAATGTAAGTTACTTCATACAAATAAAGCTTAAATTGATAATATCAGTTTTATTCAAAATTCTTATCTTTCTTCTTATTGCAATATTATCAGAGTGGAAAATCCTTCGTTCCGCTTCTGCCATCCCTAATTTTCCGAATTTCCTGGTATAATTTTATTTGCTGATATTCATATTTAATTCAATTTGAAATCTGATTATTAATATTAACTCATCTCAATGCTTAGTTGATAATTGCTTAATTAATAAACAAACATTTCAACTCATTGGTTTATTAAAAGTATTCCGTAAAACATCTAATAAATCTTGCTCTATCATAAACATATTATCACTGGCGATCTCGTCAAAGGTTTCTTATGAAAACTGGCTCTTGTCGTTCTCCGTCACATGTAGTTTGAAAAGTTTGTATCATTTAAATATTTCTTATTCATAAAATTTTCGATAAATCTTGCAACAAGCAGGTGATTAAACTAAATTTCCTGCAAAAATCAGGTAGTTCAGTCGAATGTCCCACAAATCAAATAATTTATCATATAATCTCAAGAATCAGATTATCTGTGCAGTCAATGATAGCAAAGATTTTTATCATATTTCATGAATTTTATAATATGTGGAGAAACAAATATAATTTTCTTGTTTACAATTTTACTATAAATATTGATTGGTAAGAATATACGAGTATATTCCGGATAGTACTTCTATTTATCATTCCGTATATGTGTGTGTTTTTTTTTTACCGGCCATCAATTTTTCCATCAATTTTTTTATCAGTCCATATACTATTTCCTTATCTATTATTTAAAAATAATAATTATATATATAATTTATATATAATATTATTTTTTTATATGCGATTTATATATATAATTATTATTTTTTATATGCGATTTATATATATCTTAGAATAAATATTTATATAAAATAATCGTAAATTTTATTTCATTTAACCAAACTACTTATCATATTTGCTTTATCATATCAATAGTTCAATTTTCCTTTTTTTTCTTTTCTATTAGAAATGATATTTGCAATCAATTTATTTTGATTTGTTAGCTGTCAATGCTATCTATTTTACCGCATTTTCATTTTATCCTTATCATTTCCATTTTACGTCATACTATTAAATTCACTTTTATGCACGAATCATATTTTATTTTTATTGAAATAATGCATGATATATAAATACGTAAAGTCAAGAGTTATGTGCTGATTACGTTATACATTATTTTTGTCGACGTGTAAATTTAAGCGTTGTACATCATGCCTTTTTTTAAATCTAAAAAACATACGTTTTCTAAAAAAGTATAAATGCAACGTTTTCCTGACGTAAGCACTTACGTAAATCTTTGTAATTCAAGATTTTAAAATTAAAATTATTTAGTGCTAAAAAGGATGAGTTATAAATGTGTATGTTAATCAAACTGATACAATATTTCAAAAAATGCTGGTGGCTTATCACACCATATTTTATATACTGTGTTTATAATTCTGCGATCGTTTTATCAATTCATTTCATTTCATGAATATAACTGCTACTATTTGTTATTAACTTTCACATAAACTATATTTCACTATTGAAATACTACAAGTAGAATGGAAATTGAGGAAGAAGGAAAAGTAAAAGTTGCCGTACGTGTTCGGCCGTTTAATAAACGTGGTACGTTATTCCACTTCTTTTCTAAGGAATATTTCAAGAATTAAAAATTTTAAATATTCAGTTAATTTGAAAATACATTAAAGAATCGCATAAGTTAATTTTCTCATATTTAATTTAAATTTCATATCAATTTTTTTAAGTTTTTTTTTTTCTAATTGTTTCCAAAATATCAGAATGTATTTGTTTACTTATGGAAAAAAACGAAAGCTAAAATAATACTCATAAATTTCGTGAAATATATCATACGGATAATATTAAAACAACCATTCTTCCTTTTTTCTCTTAGGAAAAAAAAGATTGAAATGAAAGAATGAAATGTTTATTTCAGAGAAATAAATAAGTTAAAATTTTAAAAAGCAATGTTAAATCAAAATAGCAACAAATTGTACCATAAAATAAAAAAAAGTTCAAAATTGATGATTGTTTGAAAGCTTTTGCATTTATCACTTTTTGCTTCCTTTGCTAGCACATTTAAAATAAGTATCGTATTTTCTATTAATCATGCATTTCTAAACGTCTTTTAAGGGAAAAAAGGAAAAAATTTATGTTCCAATTGGGTCGACAGGAAAAAAGGGAAAGATGTTTTGAAAAAAAAAATGAAAAAAAAGAGAGGAAACATTATAAAATTTATAAAAAGTTTATTTCATTCATTCGTTAAAAAAATTTTATCAATTATGATTATAATTTTTCGTTTTTTTTTTTTTTTTTTTAAATTAAAATTTTTTATTTTTAAGAACGAGATTTGAATACAAAATGCATCGTATCAATGATCGATGATCAAGCAATTCTTAGACATCCCATTGATGAGTAAGTACGAAACAAAAAGACCATTTGATTATGATTTAGTGATTGGCAATCAATTTGGGATGGATGATTGAAATTTAATTTACTCAATCAATATACCATTCGACTTGTTTTCTACATTTTTATATTATTTAAATGAGAATATTTTGCATATTTTGCAAGAGCATATAAAATTTCTAAAATACCTTATGCAAAATAAAATTTAATTTTTTTTAGAAAATTATCAGACTTTTTTATTTTAGAAAGCAACCCAAAACTTTTGCATATGATCATTGTTTTAATTCTTCTGATCCTACTGCAAGTAATTTTATTGGTATGCATTTGGAAATTTTTCTTTTTTATCATAAATGACCACACCCTTGTCATAAATTTAACATAGATCAGATAAAATTATTCTGATTGATGACTAATTGGTTACTTTCTTTTTTAAAAAATACGATAACTTCTGTCTAAGAGCAATGATGAGTTTTGTTCTGGTTCAGAATAAAAAGATTTTGATCAATTATTATGACTATGTACCGTTGATAAATTGCAGAATTTACCCAAAGATATTTCTATTATAACTGAAATTATATAAAATTAAATGATTTCAAATCTGAAATTGTATAAATTAATTAATTTCAGATCAGAATGAAGTATTTGAACGAGTTGGCACTGCTGTACTTATCAATGCATTTGCTGGCTATAATGCTTGCATATTTGCATACGGACAAACTGGTATACTTTTAATTTAACGATATGAACAAATTTACAAATTTTCTGTGCTCAAAAAGTTTTTTCAAAAAGGTATTATTTATTAAATTTTTATCCAAAATCAAGTTAATCAAATATTATATTTTACAGGTTCAGGTAAAAGTTATACAATGATGGGTACAGCAGAAAATCCTGGTATTATTCCACGTCTTTGTTGTTCTATTTTTCAAAAAATTAGCGAATTATCTTCAGATAGTTTAGCATTTAAAGTTGAAGTTTCGTATATGGAAATTTACAATGAAAAAGTGCGCGATCTTCTGGATCCTAAAAAGTAAGTAATATCCTAAAACGATATAAAGCAATAAAATATCTATATAACTTATTCAGAATCATATACATTGTTAGCCGGAATATTATTTTATCAGTGGCATTCTTATCACATTTCAAGAATAAATTTCATTCTTTTCCTTAATTCTTTCCTTAATTAATTTCTCTTACATCTACTAAATATTTATACTAATTATTTCATTTAGGATTATCAGAACAATTCTGTTGTTCCTTGTAAATAGATATTACTAACTAATGATAAGTAGTATTTAGCAGTTATCATTTAGATTTATCTTATTCCAGTTTAAGTTAACTTTCATATGAAAATTTTTTTGTAACAAATTACATATCAATAATTAATCAAATGTTACATTGCCAATACAAATTAATTATTAAGATTTTCAGAACAAATAAAAATTTAAAAGTTCGAGAGCATAAAGTTCTCGGTCCAATGGTTGATGGCTTATCCGTACTGGCTGTTTCATCATTTAAAGTTTGTCATTCATTCGCAATTAACTATTTCGAATTTTGCAAAGTTTGGGAAAATTGTTTCTAATATTTAAAAAAATGAAATATCAAATCATTTTAAGAGCACAATCGTTTTGGAGACAGTTTGTAAAATAGAGTTCTCTTGATAACATATTTGACCCTAGCGTGTAATTAGTTTCTTTTTCTTTCTTTAGCAAATAGCATCTTTGATGGAAGAAGGGAATAAATCACGAACAGTTGCTGCAACAAACATGAATACGGAAAGTAGTCGCTCGCATGCAGTATTCAATATTCGTCTTACGCAAACTCTTACGGATACGAAAAATGGAGTACGTATTGTTGAACGTTTTTATATTCATCAATTCTACTTTTGTTTTTCCATTTTCTTCTCCCTATTGTTTTCCGTCTTCTGACTACCAAAATTTTAGCCAAAAACTTTTTCTTTGAGAATTTTGAAATTTTCAATAAATAATTCTCAAATGTTCATTTAAAAAAATCTCTTAAATCTTTATTTTTTAGTTTACTGGTGAGAAAATGAGTAAAATATCATTGGTTGATTTAGCCGGAAGTGAACGAGCTCAGAAGACTGGTGCAGTTGGAAAAAGACTAGAAGAAGGCGGAAATATCAATAAGTATTTTGTGGATTACATTTTTTTCAGTTTTGAAAAAAAAAAAAATGTCCTTAATTTTGCTAATTTAAATGGCTTTTTTGTCACTTTTTATCACTTAACCAATAAATTTCTAATGCTTTCGCTATAACATTTTAGAGATGTATGTTACCAATAAAATTAAGCAAAATATTTTATACAATGAATTATAACACAACAAATGAAACATAGAAATTGAAAACGAATTAAATTTCAGATCATTGACAACACTTGGAATGGTAATTTCTGCATTAGCGGAACGATCGCATCCTAACGGAATATCAAAACCGAAATTTATTCCATATCGAGATTCTATATTAACATGGTATATTGTAGGATTCGCTTAAATCCTATTCAATGCATGCTTTAAATTATATATATATAACTTTTTCAAATAACTTTCTCCAATACATTCAAAAAATTACTTTATTTGTTTTCATTCCCCGTATTAATTTTTCATGTATACCTGTTGATAGGTTCATTTTTAAAATTCATTTCATATATCTACGATAAGTATAAACGATGCTTATTGAAATATCTGTCATCAATATTCAGCAAGAAAATAAATAAAAATGAACAAATGGAAATTTTTTTAAACTTCACTATTTCTCTAAATATTATTTCAAAAGAAAATTCTTCTAATTGATTGTTGTTAATTATTTTTAGGTTGTTAAAGGATAGTTTAGGTGGTAATAGCCGAACGGTAATGATTGCGACAGTATCACCTGCAGCGGATAATTATGAAGAAACATTATCCACGTTGAGGTTCATCAATTTTGTCAAAATCCGATAAAAAGGATAAAAATTTCATGAGAAATTTTCTTAAAAAATGGTTGAAAAATAAAGTTAGCATTTTTTCCAAAAATCTAAAATGAATAAATAATAATTGTGTTATTTCTGAAATGATTTGACTTACTGAAATATTTTTTCTGTATTGTTAAATGTGTTATTAAAGGTATGCTGATAGAGCTACGAAAATTGTAAATCACGCTGTGATAAATGAAGATCCTAATGCTAAGGTCATCCGTGAATTACGTGAAGAGGTGGAAACACTTCGAGCGCAAATATCGCAAACCGTAAAAGAACAAAATGTACGGATTAATTTTAGCACTGTACAGGATCTAAAATTTCAATTAACTTTAGTTTTTATTAAATTGAAGTAAACTTATGACAATTAATGCTAACTTTTAAATTTAAAGCAATTAGCGCTAAATTAATCTATGAGAAAAATAAATGCTGAACAAATATTATATTATCAGGAAACAGAAGAATTACGTGAAAGATTGGCAGAATCGGAACGTTTAGTGGAGTTAATGAATAAATCATGGGATGAACGACTGAAAGACACGGAGATCGTTTATCGGGTAACTAATATTTTTCATTCAAAAATTATTTACAACTGTTTTATACAAGAATTTTCTTTCCATAATTAATCAGAACATCATTATCAGTTGAATTTTAATTTATTCAGATAAACTTTTAGGAAAGACAAAAAGATCTGGCCGAAATTGGAATTTCAGTAGCTGGTTCTGGTATAAAAGTTGAAAAAGATCGATTCTATCTGGTCAATTTGAATGCTGACCCATCATTAAATGAACTTCTTGTCTATTACATAAATGTGACTCATTTTATTTTTCACAAAATAATTAAATTGTAATTTGAATATTTAAATTGGTAGGTAATACCAAGCGTATAAATGAGAATAAAATTACACTGATATTTGGAATATCTAAGAGAAACTAATCAATAATAAAGAATTGCCTTATTTGTAGAACTACTGGGATAATTTGGTGGTTTCAAATATCTCTTATGGAGATGAAATTATAATTTATTTGAGATACTAAATTTCACAGTTACAGCATCAAGCTGTTATTGGTAGTGCAGAGCAGCAGCAAGGTATGACAGGATCAGATGAAAAAGTTGATTTTATCCTTCAAGGACTTGGCGTACAACACCGTCATGCTTTGTTGAAAATTGTCGAAGATGACTGTCAACAACGCCTTTTCATCGAACGGCTTGATGCTAAAGCCAGGTTGATTGATTATCAATAATTTAAGGCTAATTTGTGCCCGCTATCTTCATACAATTAATTATTTATCAAGTATTAGTAACGAGAAAATGTAGTAAATTTTTATGCTGATTTGATCAGTTCGAAACAGTCTTGAGAAACAAACATGCGGTTTTGAATTTAGCTTTGAATTAATGAATATATTTTTCAGGATTTGCGTGAATGGACGTTTGATAACAGAGCGTACACTTCTTCGTAACGGTTATCGCCTTCTAATAGGCAATAATCATTTTTTCCGTGTCAATTGTCCAAAAGAAGCCGTTGACATTAGCGCTTCCATTATGGAAGAATCAAATGCAATGTTGTTTGACTATTATGATGCTTGGCAAGAGGTTTTATTTTGTTAATTTACTTTCTACGCTAAAACTTAATTTTTTGTATCTAGGCAAACTAAAATATCATTCTAAAGAATGCCTTTTCAAATATTGCTTATACTACTACTATATTTTAAAATTAACTTAGAGTGTCATTAAAAAAATTTTAACTTAACTACTAATAATTTTAGAAATATACAATAATGAGGATGATTTTCATTTAATTTAATTAAGAATAGATAAGATTCAGGTAAATTCTGGTATAAATGCGAATCCAATCACAACGGCTGTTGATCATTATATGGAGCAAATTACGAAGAAACATGAAGTTTGTTTGTTTGTTTTTTCATTTTGAACTATGCAATATGAAATGAAAGAAAAATTCAAACTGAAAAAAAAAATAAAGAATTGAAGTTGATTTTCTTTCATTTCAGCCCCCGATTTTTTGATATCTTGAAAGTTGGTAACGGTGCGATAGATTGATTAAACCCAATGACATATATAATATCAGAGCTTACTACATTAAATTCATATGTGCATAAGGATTGAAGTATTTTAATTTACAAATTGAATTCTTCAAGTGGTCAATAAGTGGTAGAAAATGATCGAGCATTTCAGAAAGAGAAACAGGCAGCATTAGAGCAACAGTATGAAGCATTTGAGAAATATATTCAGGGACTTACTCAAAGGTATTATCATAATTTCATCGATCAGAAGTTATTTCCATTTAAATTTCATCTATGTAAACTTTAAACTATCAGTGCATCTTCTTTTAGCTAGAATTATTTTAACTAACTAAATGAATATATTTAGTTTAATCTAAACATTTTAGTTTTACACCTTCTACACCAACACCAAGCTTCGGATATTTGACACCGATGGGCACACCTGGATGTCAATTTCCGCCTATTGGTTTTCCGACTAATCCAAAGGCTAGCATGCGATCGAAATTCTTCAACTGGGCTCAGCAGAGGTCATTTTCAATACATTTGAAAATTGGTTCCTTTCATCGTTTTTTTTTTTTTTTTTTTTTTCTAAATTGCAATCACAGATATCTTTGAAAATTACAATTATTTCATTTTTTTTTTTTTTTCAGGGAAGAAATGTTCAAAGAAAATTTGGTACGTTTGAAGAGTGATATTGTACGCGCTAATGCATTAGCTCGTGAAGCTAATATGATTGCTGCTGAGCTATCTTCATGCCGATGTCCAGTCACTTATGATGTTACCTTGCAAATTCCAGCAGCAAATTTGAGGCCATCAAAAATTAAGGTAGTATTTTTAATATTATCATTTTGAAATTATGACAGTTATTGGTAAAAACATATGGGAAAGAAAAGACGATATTATTAGTTAATTCAGGGTAAATTTTTGAAGCAGATGATAATTACAGGAAGGTGGATTCGTTTGTGAACCGTTTATCGTAGTGAAACGTGCCGGTATTGATGGTTATCAGTTATGGTCAACTGCCCAGTTAGAAAACAAATTAATCGATATGCGTGAAATGTATAGCGAAAAAATAACAACAATCGAAAGGTATATCATCTAATTCTTTTATCAGTAATTCCAATTCCTGATTGTGAAGTATTTTGGAAAAGTAATTGTTTACTGATAAGCTAACAGTTAAATTTGCTTCTGCTTTTCAATTACTTGTCTCGACAGTTAAATTGAAATGCTCATACTTTACATTACTTTGGATTAATTTAGACAACTTTGAATCAATTTAGGAGAAACTTTCATACATTTTTTTTTTTTTTTTTTTGAAAAAAAAAATTAATGTCACTATAACAAAGTTAAAATGAATTAAAATGAATTAAATGAACAAAATTTACCTCTAAATATAATTACCATGCAATTAGTTTGATTAATCACATTTTATTGCACAATTTTGCAGGAACGATGCGTCAACGTCCGAAGAATTAGAGGAGGACGATCAGTTCGCGCTCGAAGACAGCTTTAATATAAATGAATGCCATAGTCCTATTGTTGAAAATATCTTCGATAGTCAGGTAGCAAAATCTTTTTTCCTATCACTTGTTATTTTAAATTATATTTTAAGAAAGAAAAATAGAGATAACTAGCACTGAATGTAAAAATTTTTGTTGCTTATTTTATTATTTTAATTAATTTATACTTAATTTAATGATAATATCCTCTCTCACTCTATACTTTTTCATGTTAAAGAGTAAGCATGTTTATTTCTCATATGAATTACAGGAGCATCATAGTTTAATTGGTGTTGCTAATGTATTTCTGGAAGTGCTACTTCACGATATGAGACTTGATTATCATGTCCCAATTATTAGTCAACAGGTAAACTTGAAATAATACACAATAATTAAGTGAAATTATATTTGCCAAGTTTGAAATGATTCAAATTACTATTGTGTATGTATAAGCAGGGCGATGTTAGCGGTCGTCTTCATGTCGAAGTATATCGATTATCGGAAATGGATGATTCCGGTATTGTAAGTAGTCTAGATTCATTGGATTCAAGTCGTACCTTAGATCCACAATCTATTGGTGCTGTTTTCCTGGGAAAAACAATCAAATGTAGGGTATGTATATGCTCACTAAAATTAAATCAAATTTTAATGAAATTTTATATAAATAAATTTATTAGTAAATTTCAGGTTCGCATTAAAAAAGCATCAAATTTGCCATCATCATTGTCACATTTCGTATTTTGTCAGTATTCCTTTTTTAATATTAGCGAAATTTTGGTTGTTGCTCCAATATTTGACCCAAATGCAATACAATTAATTGATCATAATAATGTTCCTTGCAATTCCAACTTTCAATTCGACCACGAGAAGGTTTCATTATTTCGCATAATATTACTAATAATTGCTTAAACTAAATGAATTATTAATAAATTAATATTAATTGATACTTAATGAAAGTTATTGTAATTTTATGCTTGGGAAAAAAATTAGATATAATTTATATTCGTCGAATGTCTAAATAGTCATAATTGTATTGTAGACAAAAATAATTGTTATGTTATAAAAAAAAAAAAAGAAAAAAAAAAACAAAAGAAAAATCGAGTACTTATCATTAATTTTTAGGATTTTTGTATAGTTGTGACAGAAGAATTTTTGGAGTATATTCAAGAGGATGCTTTATCGATTGAAGTTTGGGGTCATCGAAGTAGTGGTTTTGGTAATGATTTTGTACCACCTAAGGTTGCGAATGGAATCATTGATGTTGAACAAAGTTATAAAAGTTTGCAGGTAAATTAATTATTAGGTAGCAACTAAACTACATTTCAATTTATGGTTGAATAAATGATAAGATGAAATGGTAAGCTAAAATGGTCGCTATAATGTTGAGATGTGTTTATTAGGATTAGAAATGTTTAAACTAATTAGTCTTATCAGCATGCATCGATTGCATGATTAAAAGATGACATTTAAAAATGATCATTTGCATGCTGCAGTCATAGAATGCAGTTGTAATGTGTTATTGTATTATTATAGTGGAAAATTGTTAGAAATAAAAATATTAGCAATAAATTATTGCATTTTAGGAGCGATGGTCTGAGGTGACAAAACGTATTGAGCTAAATGTTAACATTAAAGAGATGAATGATAATGGTCAGTATGTTTCCGTAGAAGTACGTCCATCTAATGAAATACTTACCGGTGGTATATATCAACTGAAGCAGGTAAATGTAAAAGTAATATCTAATAATGGATGTAGTAATTAAATAAGTTAGGAAGGAAATACAATACAAGTACTCACTACAGTTTATTAAATAAAAATACAAAAAATTGTATCTTTAAAGATCATAAAATTTTGAATTGTGATAAATATTTGGGTGTGAAAAAATACGATGCATCAGAATATAATAATTGTTTTCTTTCTTTTTTTTTAACTTAGGTTAATAATTATTGAAATGAGTATGAATTTCACTGGTAATTGATACAAATGATAACGATTAAAGTATTGACAATCATTTATCATTGAAATTCTATGAATACATGTACAATTACCACAGTGTATAATTAGTTACAAATGATTACACTTCATTTTTAGGGTCAACAACGACGAATTCATGTAAAAGTATTACCAATAGCGGATCATGGTAATTTGCCGTTGGCATTTGCGCAAATTACTTCCGTTTCTATTGGTTGTATCTGTTCGAGGTAAACGGTTTTTTTTTTCTTCCTCAAAAATAGTTTTATTGAAATTTTATTTGAAATTAGAAAATTTTTTAAATTTCAAAAGAGAGATGACAAAGATATGGCGATAACATCTAATTAACTCTGTTTCGGGTCAATGACATAATTGATAAAATTATTAGAGGTATATATATATTCACTTTATGCAAATATATTTTTATAGAAATCCAATGATGCAAAAACCTTTGGATAGTTATCAAGAAGAAGATTTGGAGAGAATTCGTGAACAATGGACTATAGCTTTGGCTAATAGACAAAATTATTTAGTGAACCATATTAATGCAGTAAGTTTACATATATTTCTTCTCATTTTTTTGATAATTTGGAAAAAAAAGTGATAACAAAATTATTTTTCAGCTAATCAGTTTGATTACTGTTTTATTAAATCTATATCTTCAAAAATTATTTAAATTACAGTTATCAAATAAAGGTGATAAAAAAACAGATGCTGAAAAAGAGCGTGAACAGTCATTAATCAATCAATGGGTTGCATTAACCGAAGAACGAAATGCTATTAGTGTACCACCTGCTAATAGCGATATACCTGGTTCACCGGCTGAATGGTTGGTCTAATGAGTTAAGCTTGATAATAAGTGATTAATTTTGAAATTTAAATTTTCGCGGATGAGAAAGTTTCTATGCACTTACTTGTTTTAGAATTATCATAAGATATATCATAAGATGTTAATTATTATTTTTCAGTAAATCACTAGTAGTGAATTTCCATTTTCAGGTCACCTCCACCTGGTATTGAAAGACATATACCTGTACTATTTCTTGACTTGAATTGTTAGTTTAATTAATTTGTAACTCATTTCTTTCTGTTATATTTTGATGATCGAGAACAAACGAAAAAACTCAGTCATTGAATGTCACTTCAAATAATGCTTTGAAGATTTAAATATTTTCATAAAATGTAAACTTATAATAAAATTCTCATCATTCCTATTTGCAGCAGATGATGTTACCGAGGAGATACCTTCCGATGATGGTAGCATTCGAATAATTGGCTTGCAATCATTCTTATCAAAGGAAAATTGTGGTCAAATTATTATGCTTCCTATTTTAGAGAATGATGTTAATGAAGTAAATTTTAATAGTATATTAAAGTGTTTGTAAAACTTTCAGAATTATTAATTAATGCAAATTGGTAAAATAATTCATCTCTTGCTTGAACAGATGAATTATCTAAGAACATTTGTTTGCAGATTTCAGCTACCTGTTCATGGGATAGTTCTATTCATGAAAATCCTGTATTGAATAAGCCTACCGAGGGTTCTGATCATATTTATGCTATTGTTAAGGTATTTATTCTTTTCCTTTACCATTTATTGTTATTTTAATACGATATTAAATTAATATCGTTTACAACCTGAAAAGAAACAAACATCAATTTGAATAATTTTGCATAATTTAAAAGTGTTAAATAAAATTGGAAAAATTGACGATCAAAAGAAAAAAATTAATTAACACTTAACAATTAATATTTAGGTAACAGTACGTTTAACACATCCGTGTGAAATAGATATAATTTTACGAAAGCGAATATGCATGCATGTGTACAAGAAAACCGGTCTAACTGAACGATTAATCAAAAAACTGGTTGGATCGGTGTGTATTTTTTTTCCTATATAAATATAATTTTTTAATATTTTGATTAAACAAGGTTTTTTTATACTCTGTCTCACCAAAATCATTATTAAGAATGACTGGTTTATTTTCATCAAATGAAAAAAAAAGACGAAAAAAAATGAAAATGATTTATTCATATCAGTAATTTAAATGAAACATTGTTATAATTGATATTAAAAATGATAAAATATGAAATTTGTTTATAACAATGAAATTAAGCAGCGTTTTTTGTAAATGTTTCAGTTTTAAATGACTGAAAAAAATCACGAATTTAAATTTTTTTTTAAAAAAAAGAAAAATCAATCGTTGATTAATTGCTAGATGGTTGATGTAATATATTATCAATAATTCGTCCTATTTGTCGTAAATTGGAATTAGAAATAGTAATCTAAGATAATAAATCATATGCTTAATAAAATCTTATGAGATAAAATTGAGAATCTTTGTCCTAAAAGTAAAAATTAATTTGTCTAATTAATCGCCGATAATTGCTGATAAAGTTCGTTGATATTATCTAATTACTAATTAGATCCTTAATTAATTTAGAAAGGTAACCCATCAAAGAATTCTATTTGGAAATTGTTAGAGTGTTCTAGAAATATAGTTTGATACTTAGATCAGAAAAGAAGATATTCATTGGTCACTACTATTTGTTTGTTAGGTTTTTTTAATTTTCCAAATTACAACTAATAAATCTCTTAATTTATTCTATTATTTGACATTTTCAGAGAAAGAGGAAAGAAAAGAAACAGGGAGAGAGAGAAAAGATTTATAGATCTAAAATCAATGCGAATTATTTGCTTTTTTGCAGGATTCAATCACCGGAACATCAGTTTATTATGATGTTGTAGCACATATCCCTAAGGCATACTCTTATTAATTTTCATAATTAATTATTAAAAATCACTGATAACAGACTCTATTTGATAGTTTCGGAAAGTTTATTGGTGAAATGTTTTATGGCTCTTTTTTTTTTTTTTTCGTCAAATGAAACCTTTCATAATTGTTAAAAAAAAGAGTTTTGCATAAGGTTTTACAAAAATAGTTTTAAATAATTAGCAATATTATCTCTTTGTCCAGCTGTTACCTTTTTAGCAATATAATTCATCTTAATTAATATTAGAATAAATATTTAATACGTATATAGGTTTTAATTTTTTATTGATTATTAATTTATGTAAATATATTAAAGAGAAGTGATATGTATTTATTTGCAGTCAACTCTTGATGTCGAAGATCGAACATCTCTTGCTCGAATGGCGGTGCATCAATCAGTGAATATTGATGATGATTTAACAACAGGTACTGATAACAGGTAAGTTTAACAATTACGAAACTAGATGAAATTATATATATGATTGTTTAATAATATTTATATTCCAGCTATTAATAATCATAATTAATGATTTATCTAGTATTGAAATATGTCAGATTAATACGATTGTTATATTTTCCAATCAAATCAATCATTGAAGAATGTAATAATTTGATAAAACTAAACTTTCAAGCAAAAATCTAAAGTATAATATTTTGGCTATCTTACTTTTACCTTTTTCTTATCAATTATTGTCAGTAATATTTCAATGATTAAATTTCAGAGATCACAAAGAGACTTATATTGAAGCTTATACGAAAAGCATTCAAGTGGTAGAGAGTATGCTAAAACTTGATAGACTTCGTCAAGAAGTTGCTATTAACAATATGCTTAGCAGGTTCTCTTTAATATCATTGTAGTAATTATTTAAAATGTATTAAATTTGGTCAAAATAATGAAGAAATCATAGTTTTACTTTCTACTTGAAATTCTTTTTGGTATTAGTAAAATTTTTTTTGGTTATAAAAATACATTTTTCATTAAAAAATGTGTCTTTTTATGTAAAAAATAGAATTTTTTAGGAATTTACAAGTTTAAATTGAAATTTATATTTATATATATTTTAGACAAGAACGTTTGAATCGAATGAGTTATTTTGGTAATGCAATACCAAATTATCGAATGAAACGGACAGCAAGTTTGCCTAATACTGCTGCAAAGACGGTAATAATTTTTGTATAAAATATTAAAAATTTTTAATTAAAATAGTATTTTTATAATTATTCCATTTTATTACTTCAATTTTTAGCTCCTTCAATTATTGTGTAGATGCAACTGAATGTATAATTCTCCAGTACTACAACAATCTATTTTTTATTTTTATAAAATATAAAAATTTCAAGCAATTTATTGATTCAAATTAGAAATTAAATTTTGACACTTTTTTTTCTTTTTTACATATTGAAGACAACCTTGTCTTCTTTAGCATAGAATATGATTATAATCTACTATTTTTTTCACATTTTGAATTGAAAAGAAGAAATTATACAGTATGTTTTTATATTAACAAACATGTGAATTGCGTAAAATATCAAACATTTAAAAAAAGCAAATTTCCGAAGCAAGTATTCTCTTCAGTAACCTTTTTAAAAAGCACAGAAAAAGCAACAATGAGTTATATTTTGTGCAGTTTTGTTGAGCATTTTATAATCTGATTTTTAGCATATATCAAGCCTTTTCTCTATTATTTATTTTAATTAATTATCACACGTAATTAAATTATCAGATTATCACGCATAGAATTATATTATCATGAAGCTTTTTCTCGAAATATTCTATTATTGGTTTTAATTTAACTATTACTTCTTTCAATTCTTCCAAATTTAACTTAGTAATTTCAAATCAGGTATTGACTAAGTAATTTAATTTAATTTAATTTTCCTCTATAGCCGCTATTATCGATAAGCGGAAGTAGTGGCATCGGAAATGTAGCACAACATCAGCAAAAGGAGTTAATCGATACTATTTGTGATGTTAGAATGAATGAGAGTCAAAATTCAACAGCAGATTTATCTATTTCTTTTTCATCTTCTTCAATGGGTGAGTTATTTGCTAAATCGATTGAATTATACATCGGAATTATTTCATATCATCAGGTTAACTGTGATATGTAAATATATTAATCAAAAAATCATCATAAAATATTATCAAGATAATATTACTGCGAATATTCATTTATCTTTATATGTCATATTTTTCAGTATCTCATAATAATTTAATAATGGCGATTCGATCAAAAAAAACTAAGTTAACCTTGGTTTTTTTTTTTTTTTTTTAAAGGGCCATTTTTATCCATTACGCTATCTTTGTCAATAGGTTATGGTTGTCCTTTTTTTAATGCAGCATACGTCATATTTGATATCAATTTGATAACAAATACCTAACTGTATAATTATCCGGATCATTTCCTGATTTATTCAAAATAGTAATAATTTTGGAAAACAGATTTTCTCATTAATCAATCTTCTTAACTTATCATTTATCACAGTTTGATTGATCTGCTAGCTTTTATTAATCGATGTTGGTTGTTAAATTTATTGGTTATTACTATTATTAATTTTTAATTGATCTGGGCATAAAATTTTATCTTTGTTTTAAATGGGAAAAAAACTCTACTTTTTTTTTTGAAAAAATCTTTTCAAAGATGGCATAAAAATAATTCCTGACATTTCATTTTTTAACAGTCATTGTTCATTTATTTTATCTTCTAGTAATATTCACTTTCTTTTAAATTAATAACAGCAACAATTTTTAATAAATACTAAAAATAGTTGTATCTTACTTATGATCAATTTTTAGCCTTAAATTTTGTGATAGTGTTAAATGTGGTATTTTTTTAAAATTTATCTCTCGTGTTCTTGTATTTTTGTCTAGGAAATAATTTTGATGAATTTTACACATTTTTTGATAATAATAGATATCTTTATAACTAACTGTACTTTATATTAATATGTTGCAAATAACTTTGAACCTTTTAACTTTGTAAAATACTCCGCCAATTTTTTTATCTTTTATGATTGGATATGTAGTTGTCTGTGGTTTCTATTTCCACTTTTTTGGGAAAGGTTTCATTTCATTGATTCTTATCATAATTGAATATAGGAATATTTGAAAATAAAATTACTTGTCATATCACATAAAAATGTTAAATTTTACCATCCATGAATTAATTCATCCTTTTTCCTTTGATTTATTCCAATTAATAGTCTTAGTAAGCAATTAACTATAAAAGTTATTAAAATTTGATGATTAAATAAGTAGTCCCATTCATTTCATTTCATCCAGACTGATAATTTTATCGATTAAATTCAATTTTCAGCTCGTCCAACATCTCTTAATCTGAGACCGCTATGTTCTGGCAAACGTATGTGGTAGTTGTTGTGAAATTGTTTTGTTCTGTAATTTTATCATTCATATTAATTAATATGCCATTGCTGATTGAAATTCTTTGGGAGAGAGAAGGAAAGAGGGAGGCAAACAAAAGAAAGTAAGAGTGATTAGGATGTATATATAATAACATCATAAATGATGAATTTTTTGCAATTTTATCAATACTTTTGAAATATATCTTATCACCATGAATAAATACTGAATAATAGCAGTGGCTTTTATCCATTTTATGCATGCTTGTTTAAATTTATATATTAGAATTTGTAATTGTAAAATAATAGTTATTTTGCTAGTAAATATCATTTGCTTTATTATTAATTTTTGCATCCTGCAAATTACCATAACAAGATGCTAATAACAGTTGCTATGTAAAGTAAACTATTACTCATTTCATCTTATCCTGTTCTTAAAAAAAATCAAAAATAAGATAAAAATAAAAAAGATTGAAAAAAATTTCAAAATCTTTTACATTTCTTTTACTACAATTATCACTTATCAGTATTATTTTTTGAAATTAAGAATTCAAAAAAAAAAAAGAAAAATGCAATTAGCAGTTGTTTATTTTATGGCTTATGCATGTTATACATTTTACTTATTAAATTTATTTTATTGATTATTCCTCCACCAATAATCTTTTTTGTTATTTTGTCCATATATTTTCACACTTAAAAAAAATGATCACATTTAATAATTGCATGTGCTTTTTTCAAATTTAATTTAACTAAACAGTAAATAGTTTAATCTTTTTGAAGGATTGCGAATAATTTAATTCTTTTTCGTTTCGTTTTTTTTTTTTTTTTTCCTTAATGAATATATATATATACTGTTTTTTTAATGAATATATATATATATATATATATGCATTATATACTAATGATATGTAGTAAAAAAAAAGAAAAATTAATAAAAACGATGAAAATATTTTAAATGATTCAATTTTCCCTTAAAAAATATAGAATTAGGATTTAATTTAATTGAAAAAAAAAATACAATTAGCAAATTTTTTCAATCATCGACAATTACACGTCATATATCATACTACAGTTTCTCCATTATCATTATTGCTACTCCCACTGCCATTATCACTGCAATTACCACTTCCACTATCACTGTTATTACTAGTGCATTTCTACTATCAGAAATATAATTATTTAGCATTTTTCCTAAAAAATTTAAATTTAATATAATTCTTTATATACATTACTAATACAATAGTTTCAATAAATTCTCATTCAGTCTATTTCTTCATAAACTAAATTTTGAGACATAATGATAATTTACGATGTATATCTCTTAGCTAATAGCATATCACTTCTCTCAAAACTTATCGTTTAGTTTTTCCTCTGAAATGTGAATGCATATTTTTTTCCGTTTGTTAACCCTTAAATTTTTTGAATCTTTAAAACTCATCAATTAAGGTGTATACACACTTGCACCATGCATTTAATCAAACACACACATACTATCACCTGTGTTTAGTGAAATTTTTTAATTTTTCCCTGCTATTGTACATTTTTCCTCTATTCCCTGCATTTCATTTTAGCTGTTGTTATAAATATTTGAAATGAAATTATTATTGATGAAATGAAGTATTTAATTTTTAGAATATTTTCTATTTTTGCTTTTTTTGTCTTTATGTTTTATTTTTAGTGACTGGTTTAATCAGTCCAGTTATGGAAAATTCAAAATTATCAGGAATTGATGAGGAACAACAACAATGTCTTATGGTAATGTAATAAAGTTATTTCAAAAAAAGTTTTTTTTTTTTATTTTTTTGTCTATTCTAATTTGAATACCATACTTCTTTAAATCATAAAAGAATGTTACATCATTATTTTTGATTCATTTTTTCTTTCTAATATTGTTTATCAATAATGTTTATCAATAATTCAATAATTACTGCGTTTCTATTGTACTAATAGAACTGAAATTCTTAAACCTTTTTTTTAAATTTACATTTGATGTAATTCTGTATTATTTAATTGATTTTTATTATCTAATTGATTTTCCTTTATAGAATATGAGTAAATCTTCAACGATACCGGAAACAATGCATACTTCACTTACAAGCGCTTATGATCTGGTGAAAATTCATTTCTGAGTTTATTTAAAAAAAAAGAAAAAGACTATAAATTTTAAATAAATTAAACATTAAACATTATGTTCTGTTTCTTTTTTTTTTGAAGTAAAATTAAAAGAAATATATTTTTAATCATTTGATCTGTGTCTTCACTTTTTTTATCCATAACAAAACAATTTTTTTATCCATAACAAAACAATTTTATCTTTTCAGTTATATCACTGTTTTAATATTTCAAATGATGAAATTCTGTATTTTAATAATTTCTTTTTTTTCTTCGAAATTTAAGCGAACAAATAGATATGGTTTTCAACGTCACTTACACGAGATGAGTCGTTTACAAGCAGAAAGCATTGATGGTAACGGTAATACACCATTGTTATCAATAACAACAATCGGAGAGCAACAGGTTGCCAAGTTCTTTGTTGACAGTTTACCAAGCATTGAACTTCATTCATTATCAACCTTTGGTATGGCTTATTCGTCAGCTTCGGATAGTGGTTGTATGATCGAAAGTGGTAGTACTTCAACAGCTACTGCTGATGACGATGATGAACAAACGGTACGATCATTATTTCAATTTTATTAAATTTCATTTCTTACTTTTTTCTTTCAATCATTTAATATTAATGCATACAATATTTAGCTAAATTAAATTTCAGGAATGATACATATATATGTGTATGTATATGTAGATTTAATAAAATGTTAAATCATGAATTTTGTTCAATGAAATTTGCAAATCACTTTTTTATTGTCATTTCAATGATTTATTATATATTATTGATGAGAAAAATTGGTTGACAATGTAAATATTACTCATTCCTGTCTTCTTTTTTTTGATATTAATGATAACATCAATATAATTAATTCTTGCTAAGAAAAAAAAGTAAATTTAAATGGTTTTTATCGTATAGGTGCTTAGAAATTTGGATAATACTAGCAGTATCCTCAACAATAACAACAACAATAATAACAGCAACAACAACAACGACAGTTATAGTAATGCAGTAAATAAAACTTTATTCGATTATGCAAGAACTGAAAAATTTTTTTTTAAATGAAATAGATTTTTCATTACATTATTTGTTGTAAAATTATTATGAATTATGAAAATTTTTAACATGAGTTTTTTTATTTGTGTCTATATAGCATCATTTCTTTTCTATTCTGAAATCATTATCTTAATTTTATGTATCCTTTTTTTAGATAAGTAATTAATTGAAGAAAAGTTATAATAAAGTATGCTTATCAAATTCATTTAATAATTTAATAAAAATATTTTGTCAAGGTATTCTCATAATTTAATTCCCTAATTAGAAGAGAATTTATTATTTAAATTTAACTCTTCAGGTATAACTCTAGATCTCAATATTTAAAAATTTTAATATCATGTTAAAATGTGGTAACATTTTATTGCTGTAGAAATCTGAGAAGTAAATACTCTCTCTCTCTGTCCTAATTATATTATTAGATTCGATCTGGATTATAATTTTATTTTTCTTATCTATGCTTTTCTAAACTTAATTTGGTATTTGATTTAATAACTGATTTTGTTTTGAATAACTGAAGTATTATTTCTTAATTTGGAGAAAAAGATGACTGATTGTAATTGATAATAAACTTAAAAACTTTCAACAATTGATGTTTAAGAATGGAATTATTGAAAATTGTTATTTGCTTTAATCACTCTTATTAGCAATATTTTGATTGAAAATTTAACCAGTATTTAAATATTTGTCTCCTATGCTAAAATTTCATTTTAATTTCATTTATTTTTTGTTTTCTTTTTGCAGATTTTCATTTTGAATAAAAAAAGACGTAAAATTTGCAAATTGTTTATTTGAATTGTCATATTTTTATACTTATATTTGTTTAAAAATTCAAGTTAACTCAAAATATTTCAATTCTTTTTTCTTGTTGGATTTGAATTAGCTTAATATAATTCTTTCATAATTTGATGGAATTTAATATTTTCATATGAGCTTTTGTTTATATCTTATACTCATTGTTTAATATCTTTAAATGCTTTTCTCATTTTAAAATAAATTTTAATTTATTTAAATAATGAATGGTGCAATAAGATTTTTTTCTTTAATTATTTGAATATTACATTGTGTAATGTTTGTTCATAGATTTAAATTTCTCTTTTTTTTTTTTCGTTTCAGAGATAGTTTTTATTACACTTTTAATAACTAGAATATTTATTATTGTTGTTATATATATGTATATTGTAATAAAGCTATTGTCATTTTAATATTAAATAAGCTAAACACAAATAAATAAAAACAAACAACCGAAAAAAAATTTTTTTGAACGGTTCTGCATGGATGGGAAAGTTGTCGTTTATATTAAACAGTGATAAAGATGAAATAACTATTAGATTAAACTGGAATCTTGTATTAAGTTTAGTATTGTAAACTGGAAAATATATTATGCGTTTTTCTAGGATGAAAAGGAATGAGCAAATAATTAATTAACTAATTAACTCTGGCAAGTTAAATTTTTTACGTTACTTTAAAAAAATTTTATACTTCAGAATTTAGTTTTGCTTGAAGGAATAATTTTTGACAAAAATAAATTTTATAAAATATTGCATATTTCAACATTGTGATCAATATATTTAGAACATGCTGAAAAAGTTGTCGAAGAAATATAATAGTAAACCTCAAAAAAAAATATTTGAACAGATCAAAAAGAAGTGGTTAAATTATAAAATGTAAGGAAAACACAAATTAGTTCAAGGAATAGAAGAATCGGAAATGGAAGAATAAATTTAAATATGAACATATTTCAAGAATTCTAAATTACTAAACAACATTAATTTGAATTAATGACCTAAACACGAAAAAGTGCAGTATGTATTGTTATATCACTGAGTTGATAAAAAATCTAATCGATCTATTTACCCTTGAATTGCTTTTTTTTTTTTTTTTTAGAAGAAATTTTAGATTCACTAAATTCCTTATTTTTGGAAAGAACTTTCGAATTCATGAAAATTGTGGAACAAAATCAAATGTGACAACTGTTTGACCATTGAAGTTATCGATATTATCAAACTGATATCCAGCAACGTTATCTTTTATTCGACAATCCATAGTGAATGGACCCAAATTACCGTTCTCATTTCGTTTTACATTTTCGAATGTTATTTTTGCCATTACCTAAATTATAAATTCAAAAGAAAAAATATATATTAAAGAATTATTTGCTGTTTTTTTTGTAAAATTTGAAGAGTTGAATTTTTGCATTAAATAATTATCTATTTCGATGTTATGATTAAAGATAATATTAATATTTTCTTTTATTTGTTCTAATATGTTTAATTATAGAATTTAAAAAAAGAAAACAAAAAAAAAAGAAAAAAAATTCATTGAATAAAAAGTAAGGTATATTTATTCGATTTCTAAATATTTATAAAAATAAATGTTAAATTTTTAACTTTTCTATACGTATACTTTTCTTTACGTCTATTTAATTTCACCCATATAATAATGGAAATTGATATAAAAATAAGAAATTACTATTAATATAATTTACCAATGGTGGTAAAGTATAGAGAATATTTCCATCTTCTCCAATAATTTCATTACCATTATCATCGAGAATTTTTTCATTTGGTATTAAATTCATTTGAAAACCACCGTTACGTATTGGTGTAGGTAATGATGGATAATAGGTAATATTGGTGTAAATATTTGATGAATATTGATAGTGCTGAAAAGAAAAATGAAAAATAATGCTAAAAATTATATATATATATATAAACGATTGAATTTGAATTAGGACAACAATTAATAAATTTTACAGAATTAATACAACATTTAACACAACACAAATTGGCAGTAATGGCAGTTAAAAAAAGTTAGGTATTGTGTAAATAATTTGAATTATTAGATTAGTTGATAAATAATATGTTTGGTATTATTTATATTTATTGATGTAATAAATATTTGCTAAAAGTGGATAATTTCATACTTCTGATATAAGAAGTGTGAAATTTTTTAAATGCAAATATATTTTGCAGTAAAACGAATTGAAATGAAATAAAATGAAATGAATTGAACTGAATTTAAATGAAATGAAAAGTATGCGCAAAAAGTAGCTAACCATATGACAAAAGAATGGTAAATAATCCATTTCATTTTTCATATTTGGCTTCCAACCCAAACGCTATAAAATGTAAAGCTATAATTGAATTGAAATGAAATAAGTGAAAAATTTTCATATCTTTCTGTTTTTAGATTTTCCATCAAATAAATGAAATTACTGGAATTCAGAGAAACATTTATACCGATGCTTTTTCCTTCTTTTTTAGCGATAGCTTGATTAGTTAAAATTTGACCGATGACAAAGAAAAAAAAAGAAAATTTTAGACGAGGTACATTTAAAATAACAAAAATTTAATGGAGCGATTAAGAGTTTACACTTATCATTTCCCGAAAAAAAAGATAAGTGTTGTTGGAGTAAATCTGATAATAAATATGAGAAAAAGATTAAAATATTCAAAACTTGAGAAAACAATATGAATCCTTTTAAAATCAAAAAATCTAGATCAAATTCAATCAAAAAAAGGGAAGACGAGTAATTAGTGTAATGATTTTATTATGATTAATTAATTAGTCATATTCTGTTTGTTAGAAACTTACTAACATTGTTAAAAATGAATAACATGCATGGATTGCCAGAATCATAACCGTAATTAGTTGTTTTGGAACAATCGGAATGAAATTGTCGTTTGATGTCAAATGCGCACCAATGATTTTTATCGCTTCGTTCTTCCATCGTACAAATCTTCAAAAATTCTCCCATCGTTTCTCGGTCTTTAACATATTCTGTAAAAATTTCCATTTTTGTAAATATTATCAATAAATATTTAAAAAAAAGAATTAAGAGGATTAATTTGAAATAATCAAGCAAATTGGACAGGAAAAGTTGTAAATTTTTACTGATAAAATTTAAAAATTAAATAGAATGCAAGGACTTTATTAATTTGATAATTTAAGCATCAAAGAATAATTTAAATGATTAATTGTTGAACAAATGTTACGTACCCGTAGGGTATATGGGGCATATGACATATATATAATTACCTATCATTGTTAATTTATTCAATGAAATTTCAAGTATTTCCTAATAAAATTGAAAAAAGAATGAATTTAAAAAAAAAAAAATATTTTTTTGAAGTTATTTTTCATAAAAGTTTTATGAAATTATTTACTTTCAAGATAATCATCAATTTCTTTCACGTATTCTGCATTTGCTGTACCATTTCGCAAGTTAAAATGAAATACATTGAGAGATCGTTTCCGGATATTTGGTATCATCATAAGACCTTAAAAAAAAGAGAAAAACAAACAAATTATTAAGAAAACAATTTTAACAAAGCAGTTAATTGATAACATTTCTTTAATCATATTTTATTCCATAGCTAACAAAATGTTATCAATCAATTATTTGAAAATTATTATCAATGACAAATTGTTAAACCAAAAAAAGGTTAATAATATTCTTTACCATGGCGTGATTTTTCCTGATATGTGATAACATCAAAAATAACTTTACCAAAACCCGATAATAATGATACCAAAAGAATCAACATTAAGCAAATCATCGAGATAATAATACCTGATAATTATAAAATTTTAAAAGAAAAACAAAGAATTTATTTGCCAAAATTTTATGCAAAGTTATAATTAGCTTCGTAATTAAAAATATTTCTTATGCATACCTATACAAAATCGTTGTTGTCGTTGTGAATATCGTATATCCTCAAAGATATTTTGCCAGGTAATATTATCCACGAAGATATGATCAAAGTTATCATTATGAGTGGTAATTAGAGCTGTATCATCGATTTGTTCCGTATTATAAATTCTTGCTTCATCATTTATTGCTAATGAATCTGGATTTGAGACACATTCATATCTGCAAATATTTCAAAGAAATGCAAAAAAAAAGACAAGAAAGAGTGATTATTATGTATTTTAAACTATTGTAATCATTTCCGAAATAGATTGTTTTTTATAAGTTTATGTAAAAAAAACATTTCATCTTTTAAAAAACCAAAAATTTTGAAAAGATTATTATTCGTTTTAATGTTGCGAAAAAAGGATGACAAACGGGAAAAATGTCTGAGTTCACTGTATAACATAGTTATAACACTCTATACCATGGAATAATTATAATATTTAAGGTAAATAAATTATCATTTATGGCTTTCCCATACGTCTAAATATGTTGTCGTTACGTCAAAGATATATTCAATTGCTTTGTCAATACATCGCGTTAACAAACGTACGTCAAATAATATATTTTCAAATTTACCAACCTTATGGTAGACATTGATGAAACAATTAATGCTGAAATTCGTGAAACGTTTGATAAACATGTTATTTAGGACTGCCACATTTTTTCTTCTATGAAATTTCATTCATATATATATTTTTTAATAATACATGTGAACTACGTAGAATTAATTTAGTGCACTTAAACATATCATTAATTTTGCAATACATAATCAGAAAATTTATAAATTAGCTAAGCCCAATCTGATAACTTAATTAAAATAATCTAAGAAATTAACTAAAATTTTTAAAAAATTTCACTTTCTAAACTATTGATTTTGGATAAGTAAGCAATGTTGGCGTAGTAATTATAAAAAAGAGAAAAAATTAATTGATTAATTGAGACCGATCCAAGCTTAAAAAGATATAGCTGAAAATTTGAAATTCATTGTTTATGTGAATATTAGGAAAATTTTACAGAATCTTCTTTTTTTTCTTTTTCTTTTTTCAAAGTTTTTGGAGAATACTGAAGTTTTTAGAGAAAATATTATTTTTTATCGTTAACTAATATAACTGCGATAATCTAACACAATTAGATGAATGGATAAAATTAAACATTTAATGGATAAAATTAAACGGTTAAAAAAATTCAAAGAATTAATAAATCGACAACTGCAGAATATTTACCGTTGACAAATATAACTGCGATAATCTAAGACAAGTAAATGAAATAAACGATATGTCATTCGGACCTAAAATGGTATGTGACAATAGCATGTGACAATAATATATTTGCAGCAATATTTTTGAGAACCGGTTCTAATACGATGGAGCAAGATCATTTGTAAGTGTTTGCCAAATAATTTCAACAAAATACATATTTGATCTTTATTTTTATTCAATCTTAATTAATTAGATTCCTGAAAGGAAAATGAAATATAAATTTATTGAAATTGATTAATTGCTCTAAGTTATTTAAAATTGAAGTCAAAATTTTAGCTAATAATTTTGTATTGCATCTTTTATAAACATTATTGTAAGAAGTAATTTCATTAATTTATAATAATATTAATTTCTGTTTTCTTTTTTTTCAATTAACTGAACAAAAAAAATGTATAAATAGGTCACAGAAGAAATTACATATTTAGTAAAATTAAAGGTAAGAAGTAGAAATAATTTTTAGATAATATCAAGTGAATCAATAATATAAATTTTACATTCATAATCGTCACTTATCATTCATTATCTGCCTTATCTTTCTTCTTTTAACTATCAAATAGGTCATATTTAATATTCAACCATCAAATGATAATAAATGTAAATAATTATTTGATTATATCATACTTTTCCTTAAGCAATAATAATTTGCAATTTCTCCAGAGTTTCGAATACTATTCAAATTTGAAGTGTTCGCATTTAGCACTAAGCTAAACAATGCATGTATTTTATGACTATTAAATAAGTATTACACGTAAATATATGAAAACTGAAGTGAAATATGAGTAATAACGAATGGAAGAGACGTTAGTAAAAGAATATAAATGAAGAGAAATATTATTTAGTTTAACTTGAATAACAAAAAAAAAAAAAAGCAAAAAACAATGAGAAAACAAATAATGTTTTTTAATAATACCTAAATGTTCAAATTCCCAAAAAAACCAATAAAGCAAAAAAAAAAAAAAAATATTGAAAATTAAAGAAATGTAAAAGAAATGAGTAAATTTTTTCATAAGAAGTTGGAAGCAAAGTTAAAATAAAAAGAAAAGGGCGGTATTGTCAGTGAAATAAATGCAGTTATCAGATGGATTAATGCGCTTATACTATTACAGATTTTATTATTTCCTATCTAGTTAACATTTTTTTTCTCATAATTTCATAAATTTTAACAATATTACCATTATCGGCAATATTTCAAGGTCAGTATATTGATTGGTATATGATATAAAAGAAGAAAAAGTGCTTTTATCTTGAATTTTTTGGTTTCTTTTGATTATATTTTATTAGCAATGATTAGATATAGCATTAGCACAATGAAAATCAATAAAATGAAATTGACTGAAATTCCGGTATTGGAGAAGAATATCGGAAAAACAAAATTACGGTATTATATATAAATGAAACTTTGCATGGATATATTCGCAGCAATTAACTGTTTTTTCTTTATTTGAAAAAATATTTTTTAATAGAAAAATTATACTTGGAAATAACTTCCTGAACATATAACTGACTTACTTTACGGTATAATAAAAGTAATAGATAAATAGGAATATGTAGGGAGGGGGAGGGGACGGGATAGGATAGAGAGAAGGAATAAATGAAGGTCATAGCAATTAATCCTGCAAAATGTTTTGATAATAATGAAATTCTATCAAAGATAAAATTACTTTCCGAAATCCAAAGGCTCAAAAGGCTTCATACTCAAAATGAATTTCAAACAAACTTAGCTCCTAATTTACTTCAATACTTAATTTTAATCAAATTCAATTTACTTTAATACTTAGTTCAATACTATTTTTTTTTGCTTTTTACCAATTTATCGCAAAAAAAAAATTATACTGCAATTAAGATTTTTTATTTGAAGTTAACACTGACAAATATTTTTTCTTTTTTTAAAGAAAGTATTTATCTTACTTATACTACGTGATATAAGATTTTTATGTTTTTCTATTACAAATAAAATTAAGTTCCTACCAATACCAATTATTGGAATAAATTTATGAATATTTCTTTTATTGAAAATTATACAGTACTAGTATTCCAATACCAATTATTGGAATAAATTTACCGAATATTTCTTTTATTGAAAATTACACAGTACTAGTAAGTCAATATTTGTCAGTGTTAACATTATGATCTAATTTCAAGGATACTTCAAGAATAAAAAAATCATATTATAATGAAAATTAATTCCATCTATTAAAAAAATTTTGTTTTTTGTTTTTTTTTCTAAATTCAAATTTCAAAAATAATGGAAATATCATTTATATGAAAGATGAAAACCAGAGAAATGCAAAATAAATTTTCAAAACAAAAAAAAAAAAAAAAAAAGAAAAAACCACAATATTAATGAGGCCAATGTAATAGCTAAAATGTAGTTCTATTTTAAATTAATTGGTAAATTAATTTATGTATTAGTTAGCATAATTAGAAATATTCCATTAATATATTTAAAAATTGTATTAAGAATATAAGAAATAGCTTTTCTTGAGTTTCATGCGAACTATTGATCCGAAGCTGTACTGTTCCGAATAATAAAATTTGTTGATATAAGCTCACAAATATTACAAATGTAATTTTCAAAAAAATAATCCATTTAATGAATCCGAAGATTAATTATAATTTCACATCATCTTTGAAATATTTATCATAAAATAAAATCAAAATTATGATAATAATGTGTTGATTTATTATTTACAATATCAAATAAAGCTATCAGTAAATGGAAAGAATAAATTTATTCTTTTTCGTATCATTCTTATTTTTTCTTTTATTTAAAGTTTAATTTTAATTTTTCAATCGTTCCACTGCCATACTGAAAAATGAACACCGATCGGCACACATCATTTGAAAATGTTTACACCAAATCTCTGCCACATCGCAGTATGCACCCTGTAAAAATATTCTTTCTGCCACTTCTTATCACATTAACATTATCACTTGTAATGAATAACTACCAATGATTCCAATCTTTTTTTCATTATTATTATCAATATGTACTGTACTAATATCTACATTGTAACATTGATTATTACTTCTATCAGTTTTTCTTCTACAACAAACACACTTTATTTTATTACAATTAACAAAAATGAGTGATTATGAAGTGAGTAAGTAAGTAAGCTATTTCTTTTCAAAATAATGTTTGCTTTTTGAAAATAATTTTGCTAAATTGAAAGAATTTCAAAAAATGTTATGCTTCTAAGCTCAAATGACCAATTAGACTATAGAATAACTTCATACGCCCTTGCAATTTACCATTGTTAGAGTTTTAGACAATTTTCTTCTTTTTTTTTTTTTGGAATAAATATTAGACAAATTTGCTAACCTTAATAATATCATCGGAAAAATGCATGAATGAGCTAAAATTTATGGAAAGACGTCCAATGAAGAGAAGCATAGCATGTGATATTGGCCAAATAGCTTGGGCAATTAATTCAATAAGTGCAGCAATTGAAAGTTCCAAATAACTAATAAGCAAATAACTGGCAACAATGAAACCTGTTATTGTTGCAGGACGCTAAAATTAATCGAATTAGAGCCAGGAAATATTTTAAAATCAGTACAGTAATATTATATTAAATTATGATGAAAAATGAGCAATTATGGTAAATATATTGCAATCTCAACAAATGATAATTATTATCGGTCTTTTAAATCGAATTCAAAGACAATTTAAAATTAAATAAAAACGATTTTTTATTTAAAAAAAAAATAAATAAATTTTTATTAAAAAAGCGAAATGTAAGTAAATTTTTTCTCAATGAGATAATAAACTAATTCGACGTAGAATACATGTATTGATACCATTTTACGTAACTTAGATTCCTATTATCAGAAAAAAATAGCAAAATATAATAAGTTTTTGAATAGTTACAAAAGGGATGTTGACGACAACACTTTTCCACTGTTTGTTAAAAAAAAAAAAATCAGAAATAGTAAAAAGGTTATTTTTTGAAAATTGAATTCTTGAGAATTTAAAACTAAAATAAAAAAGGAATATGAAATTTTTCACAAAAATTATTATATAAAATTGTTATCACGTTGTTAGAATAAACATTTTATAATTTAGTTGAAAGATAATTTATAATTTTGTTTTAGTTTAAAAAAAAATTGAAAAGTAACTGAGAAAAAAATTATAAATTCATAATTATTTTATTTACTGTCACATTATTGCCTTTCTTCTCTTTTAATCAATACTTCACAAATTTGAATACACATATGTTTGTAATGAATTAATAGAATAGAGAAAGAAAAAACTGAAAAATATTTAGCTAAGAATTTAGAGTCTCGTTTTTATTTGCTTTAAAAATTTCGTCTTCCCTAATTTCATTTTTGTTTCAGTTTAAAATATGCAAATGACGTAATTATTTCGGACATATACGGTACAAAATGCTTTTCGTTTATTGTTACATAGAATTATTTCATACTTATACAGTACTTACTGGATGACCCTTCAAGAATTGTGTTAATTTGGTTAGAAGAAGCAGAAAATCATCAAGTAATTGATGAAATGCGTGGGAAAATCGATGAACGGACATGTGATCACTATAAAAAAGAAACAATTGCTAGAAGTATAATAAAATTAATTTTAGTATATATATACATATAATAATGATAATTATATATGATAGTGATAGATAGTTAAATGGTCAAACGCTAATTGGTTCCTTCAAAAAAAAAAAAAATTGTGATTCTAATAATTTGAAAGATAAACATTACTTAGCAAAGGGAAGATTTAAACGATCAAAACAAAAAACGTTTCATTATTATCAATATTGAATATAAATTATTTATATCACAAATTTTTTTTTTTTTTTTTTTATGGATGGCATATTATTCTTCCTTCATTATTCAAATTTCCTTTTTCTAAATAATCTCTTGTATCCTCCCAAATTTTAATGAATAATGGGATTTTTTTCAGTAAAATCTTCTATTTCATATTAAAAATTTGCTATAAATATTTTTCGATTTGATAAAAATATTTATAAAATGGACTCTATTTCGCTTTGATCAAGTTCGCAAATATTTTGGATATCTGGGCACATCGGGATATCATCACGTCTTTCGGAAGCTGGACCCTGGATGGCAAATTCACTACTGTAAATGAGAATAGGTTATTTAATAATCGAAAATATTATAACCCAATTTTCACAATTCAACAGATAAGAGGTAATTTTTATCAATTAGATACCATTTTTCACTAAATATTTTTAAAAATAAATTAAAAATTGGTTTCATTTTTTAAGATAAGAGTTAACTTATAAATTGACTTTTTCCATCATTAATAATATTGAAAAATTCTCATTACTTAAAACAGTATGATTCCCATTGATTCGTTTATCACATTTTAAGAACTAACTTTGAAATGGATGAACTATGACGCTTGCTGCTTTTCCGCGAATGTCGTTGTCGTTTGCGATAATTTCGATGGAACCGTTTTGGTACTATCGACGTTTCATGACCCGTCGATTTTGTTGAATTCTCTTGCGCAGCTCAAAATTCAAATAGCTTAATTTTAAATTGGATCGATCAAGGATGAATGAAATTTATCGTATTGTTCATACATACATATATCATCTTTGTAGATGTTATAAACTTCAATAAGCAATGATAACTCATTTAATTAATAAATAATTTTGAAGTAAAAGTATAAGATGCATTTCAAACTTTTATTATTATGTTTTTCTATGCTAATCTATAATTCAACTAATTTTGAAGAATATTAAGCCTTCCTTAGTAGATTTTTTCCATCATATTGAACTGAAATAATTTACAGAAACCTAAAATCCAATTACATTACATAACATATTGATATTACTATGAGTATTATTAAGCTTGTAATAATAATCTCTAAATAATTCATATTTCATTCTGATTTGAGTAACTTGAAGAAGAATAGATATCAAAATGTAAACAAAAGGTCAAATGTTAAGGATATCACAACAATATGCTTGATATTCTGCTTCATATACGATAACTATCCTTAAAATGTTACTTTTCTTTATTTAAAATTATTGCGCAGTAAAAAATGGAAATAAAATTCAATAATTTTAATAAATAAATGATTTTCCTTTCTTGTTATTAGCATAAATGGTCAACTATACAGTGAAAAAGAAGGATTTATCCTGTAAAAGCTGATAAGATATACATAATCATGAGGATGAATGATCTGTTAGCAATGGTTAAATGTCTCAGGAAGAAATGTCACACAATACTGTGTCACCAAGTAATATAAATTTGCTTATTTAAAGTATAATAGGAAAGAATTACTGCTTGTCGTTTGCGATTGTATTGTACCATTCGGTAATTTAGCATTCGAGATTGACGAATCAGTTATGACATTACTAGTTTCCGTTTTCTCGGACGGTCTGGAAAACGTATATTAGCCATTTTATTTTTTAATTCATCTAACTTGATTATGCAAGAGTTTGTTAGTTTCAATTTTTTTTTTTCTTTCCTGATAAATTTTTCGAATGGAATATGAATTACATTGATGATACTGAAGTATGAGATGCTATATATGATAAAATTGTGTCTTATAAGTAATGGTGATTGATTCATTCAATAATATACTACGTATTCTGTAAAATTTTTACGTAAAATTATAAAATGCTAAATTAAATTGAAGATAGCATCAAATGAAACGGACAGAATTTCATTAGGTATTGGCATATCAATAATGTCCTCGATAGATGGACAGTTTGGTATATCATCCGTACGATCTTTATGCTTCCTGAAGAAAAGTGAGATATTGATTATCTCATTCCCGATCGACTGATAAAACATTCCATGTCGTATAGTAGGGTAAAGAAATTAGGAAAAATAAAAGAATTTTATAACTTTACATTATCCATCGTTGTTTTAAAGTTCTAATTTCTTTTCGTTTAAGACGATCCGACGACATAGTTATTGAATCTAAAATTGAATGATTCAAATATTTCGATAGTCAAATATTTACGATCGTTTAATTGTATACGTAACGTAGCATCAAAAGGAAACATCTCTGATTGCATCATTTAATCACGCTATTAAAGTTACATTATGCGCTATTCGAAACGCTTATATTTCAGGTCAAACAGGCTAAAGGCTAAAACACAATGTTCTTTTTCCGCAACTGTAATGAAACTTCGAAAGAAAAGTTACACGTCTAAGTATATGTTAATAACATATTCGTAGAGAGCTATTTTGTGTTTTAGCCTTTATCGAGTCAAAAATTCAATATTATAACGTAACATACAAATAAATAGGATACTTCTGGAAAAAAATGATGAAAAAAAGATGAAAACAGAACAACAATATTATTCTAATAACATCAAAATAAAGTAAGTCAAAATTTTCCGTCTTGCGTTCACATCCAATTTCCTGTTCCAGTGTTATCACCAGAGCTTAACGGATACCAAACCGTTAAGCTTCTAACAGTACTGACAAATAAATTTCAATTAAAAAAATTTTACCGTTTAAAATGAATTCTAAAATTCAACCATTTTTATAATCACACAAAGAATTGTATCAACGTTATTATCATTAATAGATTAGCTAAACTTACTCACTTGGTTTCTCACAGCATCACTGCATAAGGCAAAAAAAAAGTTTGCACTTCAAATTATCATATTTTCCAACTGCCAAAGTTTTAAATTGTTAAATCAACAATCAACAAATGTATAAATCAACAGTGTTTTTTAATTAGTGAATTTTAATTCCACAGTTATTTTCATACAATTTAACTTAGAGATGAAACAATGTTTTAACGTTGCACACGTATACCATACGTGTACACTTAATGTTACAAATTAGCCCAGAAAAGAAAATTATTTTTTGGTAAAACGCTAACATATAAGTGAATAATAAAGATGTTTTCACGTTAGATTACATTAAATAAATAATTGCAAAAATTTTGCTTATTTCAATGTTTTATAATATTATCAAATAGCATAAGTAATAAGCTAAATTTAATACTATTAAGTATCATTTTAAACAATAATTGTCAAATGATTTAGGTTAAAATATTTTATTATTATTGTTAGTATTATTACAATTGTAACAGTGAAGAAATTTCTGAAAATTCCAAACCTCTTCTCTCCTCATTTTATGCAAATTTCTGTTTCTTCTCTTTTTTTTTTGCACACATATAAATTACTTACAGAATGGTTCACTCTTTGTCAACAACGGCATTATTTAAAAGCATGGGAGTGGTATAGTGTTGCTTGATAGTTGCGCTTCTGTCTTTATCGTATAGTTTTAAGATAATCATATATATATATAGAGGACACGTAGAATACGTGGGAATATAACATGTGTTGCATGTGTTTCGTCTTTTAGCTTACTTCTTTACTTAGTCTATTATAACAATTTGTTAAGCATGTAATTATTTCGAAACGTAAACGGTTAGGAAATATATGGCGGATAAATGAAAGATTTGCGCTGCGCTTATCTTTTATTTCCTTAGAAATTTTATCATTTTATGTAAATATAATTAATAATTACGTAAGTTTCTACTTTGAAATTTAGACTTTTGTGTTATTCGTTTATTTCGTATTCAGTTCTCAAATGATTTTATATTGATGGAGAAAGAAATAGGAAACTGTAAGGAATAAATGGGAAGATTGGAAACAGTTGGAATTTTTGAAATAGTGATATAATGGACTTAAAGTTCCTCGATTGTATGGTATTATAGTTTTCATGTTTGAATTATGATATTTAAATATATTTGAAAATTTAAATGAATATTATGATAATTTAAACTTTTTAATTGACATCAAAAGCTTGGGGAAAATATAATTAGATACCAGTGTAAATGCATTATTTGTCATTCTATAGATTAATTTGAAGTAATAGAGGGAGTAAAGTAAGTTAATCGTGAAATAATTTTCTTGAAAATAATACCAGTGATAATCAATCAATAGTTCAAAATCTATCCTTGATCTATTCCTTACGAGATAAACAGATATTTGGCTTAATAATTACAGAGTATTATCATTATAGATATATTACTGTCAGGAACAAAAGAAAAGAAAGTAAATATTTCAAATTAATTTATCAGTCTATTTTTACAAGATGTTCAATGGAAAAAAATTTCCAGTTTTTTACGATGGGAATGGATGATGATTTGGAGATTTCAATGACGATGATTAAAAATCAAAATCAAACATTTGCTTCTGGAATTCGCGGTAACTCTTAAAGCAATTTTATAGGTTTTATATTAATTGGAAATTTTAGATTCTCTCTATCACTAGTAACATCTTATTAAATTATTTCTCAGTGTAAGTCATAGCTTTTACTGAAATAGAAACTAATTTGCTAATTGCATTAGTACTGTAACTATGTATAATTCGTTTACAAAAATAAATAGGCAAAATATTCATCTTAACTTCATATATCAAATTTTTGTTTTGTTTTTGACAATTTACAAATTACTTTAAGATGCGTAGTTCATATTTGATATTTTGACTTTTATAGCCTTCTTTCTTATCAAAAATTTTTACCATAGAAAAATTTTATAAAAATTTTTTTTGTTCATTTTAGATTAATTCTTCTAAAATGTTATTTTGCTTTCTTTTTCATTACAGAAAATACTGCAATAGAAGGAGATGGAAAGAAGAATACAACGAATATTATCACTTCGTTTACTTCTACAACTATTCCTAATAGTAGTGATAGCAGTAGAAGTTGTAATTTAAGTCAAACTGGTAACAGTAATATTGGTGATAATAATAGCAATAATAGTGACAAATCTTCATATAGTTTCGATTCAGGGCGGAAGACGAGAGAATTATTAATTGAAGATTATCTGAGAACTCTTCAAGGTCACTTCTTTTTGTTTTGATTTTCATATTTTGATTATTTTTATATCATTAACATACCTGTCCTTTATATATGTATAACAAATGATTGTAAAACATTGACAGATATGAGATAAAGAAATTCTCTTTTTTTCTGATTAATAACTGAATTTATTTATCCATTTCATTGCATATTTCAATTCTAGCAACTGATTCGATAATGGAACCAAATATAGATATAACAATTTTTAAGAAATGGTGGTCATCCAGAAGTTGTAATTACTTCTCTCACCAATAGTTATCGTGGTCTTGCCCAGGTATCTGTCTCAATTTTTTTTATTATATTAAGTATTAAAAATATTAATTAGTAAAATTGTAAACTTCAAAAAACAAATACTAAAAGACTTCAGTATTACGTGAGCTGCAATTTCCTATACTGATAATTAAAATGATAACTTTCTCTTCGGTATCACTTCATGAATTATTATTATCAGTCTTTGACAGATACATGAAATTGATATGTTAAACTTCCTAAATTTCATTTCCTACTGCTTTCCATGTGTTAGAGAAGAAAAAACATTTTTTTTTTATCATATGGAGCTAATTAATCGTGCTGATAAGTTATAGTACTGTGAATTGCTTGGTGATTGGTTATCTGATTTGGAAGGTGACCGGAGAATTGTTCATGAATGTTTCGAAAAAAGTTTAAGCTCATTGCTTGAAAAACGTTTCGTGGCTGAGGTTGTCGATAGAAATTTTGATGCAGTAGGCGATGTTGATAAATGGTTACCAGAATTACTGAAACATAGGTTTACTAATTGAACTATCAAAAATCAAATTTGAACTATTTATCAAAAATTCTAAATATGTGTTAGCTTGAAGATGACCATGAATTCAATGTGAATTGGTCAAGTAGGTATTTCGAATTCATTATTAAATAGATTATTAAACTTTAAAAGAGAAAAGGTAATCTTGTTGCAGTAAATGGCGTAATTTAATTTACACACTGATCGAACAAAATCCTCGATCGAGATTTTTAACGAAAGCAATTCGAATAATATCAGATGCCGGTTTTCAACATGAAATTACAAATGTTCATTTAGCTGCGCAACAGGTATGGGCGTATTTTTATTTGCTAAATTGACTTATTGCTTACTCATTTTATTTAATTATTTCAATTATTGCTTCTTATTTTGTCTTTATCTATGCATTGTGAAAATTTTCGAAAAAATCTATTCAATTTTTAGTTCCATTCAATATCTTAAATGATATTAGATCACTAACAAATTTGACGGTATTTAAATTAACTAACAAATAATATAGTTAATTTGTCAGTTTAATTAATTATGATAAGTTAACCATTATAGTTTGAAATTTGTTGTCGTATGGTTATTACTGCAATTGATGACTTTTTTGCGGAGCATAAAAAAGGCCCAATGACGGATGTTTATGAAAAGGCTTTTGCGAAATTAACTCAGATAGTTTGTTATAGCGAGCATACTTATTTGCTCACGCAAGTTCTTTTGTATGAAACTATCAAAGAGGTAAGTGTGAAGTGATTAAGCTATGGATTATATATCTTTAATTTGTAGAATTATAATAAAAAGTGTAGCATTATATATGTTGACGTAGTTGCGTGATATTATACTATTGCATAAAATTCATGTGACGCAAATAGGGCTTCATTTTCATTCTTCTAAAATTAGAAAAACTAAAAATTCTGCTAAAATTTGATTCTAAGAAAATTTCATTCTAAAATAACTTTTCATCATTTTTTATTCAATTAAGTGATAAATTTTTAGGAAAATAATGAAGTAGCAGCAGCTTGCACATATTTGTCACAAATATTGCGTCGTGAAGCACATAAACGTAACTATCAAGATTCATATGATATTCATATTGCATTAAATAGAGGATATAATGATTGTGGTAATAGTGTGAAGCAAATCATATATGCAGTGCTTAGCAAGAAATGTCTAAATCAAGCTGATATTATTCGTCTCTATGAAGTCAATTAGCTTTTTTTAGCTTTTTTTAGACTGTTTATCTTCTCCCATTATTTATTTCCCTATTTAATTTCTGTTCATAAAGTAAGTATTGATAATCTGAAATCAATAAATGGTTGTGATTGTTTATTTAATAATCACTAAATGAAGAATTAATAACAATAATACATTTCTAGCTATACCTTTAATTTATCTTTAATTTTTTTTTTTTTCAAACTCTTATTTCTTTCTGTTATTCTTTTTCAGCGATACAATTCATCTGAACCACCAGTTATTGAATTTATTCAAGATCCATTTTTTATCGATATGCTTATCGATGCATTACTTGCATATGAAGGATGTAAGGTAATTGCTTTTACCTGTATCTGTTTCAGTACTATTTTTATTTATTGGCAAAGCTCAAATATTATTTGAAGTAAGTAATTTTTACTGCTATGTTCTATATTCTATTTTATTTAGCCTAATCTTAGTTAAGTCTTCTCTTAGTTAAATGATTAAATTTATTCATTTTCCGTAGTGCTTAACTGACGTATCTACCCAATTATCAACCAGGAAATCAATAAAACGAAATTCGAAAGTGGAATATTTCAGGATTCGAAGCAAATTACGGCTCGATGGGAGTAATTCATAATATGTTACTGTTTAATTCGTAACATCTGAAAATATAATTTTTATTCTTTCCAATATTATTTTTCAGGTCCAATTAAGTCATCGATCGAAATACATCTTTTTATTATCTTATGCTTCTTGTTGTAGTACTTCAAATGATACGAATATGGAAAAAGAAAACGTAAGATTCTCTCTTTTATAAATAAATTCATTTCTGGTACTTCTAATTTCATTAATTACTTTTAATTAAGTAATTTACTATTTCATTTTGCAAAAGTATTTATCATAAACAAAAAAAGCGCTTTTTTTTGTTTTCGTCTTAGTTCTAAGTAGCATTAGAATATGTTACAATTGTAATCATGATTCCAATATAAGGAAGGGATGGAGCGGACAGAATACATTATGGAAAAGATTTTGGATAGTATAAGATCGGAACGCGAGTTTTTAAAAGATATCCGTTTGCTACTCAGTGGTATATAATTTTTAATGCAGAAAATTTTCTATTTTTTTAATAAAAATAAAAAAAAAGGCTGTTATGAGCTCTAGAATATTCCAATCAATAATAGTTGTAAATTACCTCATCTTTTTTAATTTATAAAGTTTTTTTCTTTTTTTTTATGAGAACATAAAATCACTGAGATTTTGTGAAAAATAATGATGTGCGATCTCTTAAAGATGAATAATGATCAAAATCATCCATTGGTTAATATTAACTGTAGATAAATTCAAATCTACTTTCTAATACAGAAGTGCAATTTTTAAAATACAAATTTATTATTTATTCAAAAGGCTAAAAGTCCAGTCCCAATAGATGAAAAAAAATTTAAAAACAATGATGTTATCTTGTTTTATCTTTTATTTTTTTTCTACCAGGTATTGAATTTACACCAATTGTCGGTGGACTATTGCATTATTTACAAGGGTTTTTGTTAAATAATGAAATGCTTACTGAATTTGAAATGGTTCATTTCGTTTTATTGGACGAAATTGCTACCAAACATTCCGACTTACATATCAGGTTTGTTAACGAATCTTGTAATATAGTAATTTCCTTAATTCTTCTATTTTTGCTATATATATATATATAATATAGAAATATGAGACAGGAAAAAATTTAAACAAATTCTAAAAACTATATTGGTTAACAATGATAATGATAGAGTAGCAAAAATTAAAGAAAAAGCATAGCCAATCAGAATAAAAAAAAAAAAAAAAAAAAAGGAAAAAAACTCAAAATTGTTCATATTGACTACTGCTAACACGAATTATATTGTAATTAAAGCAGAGATAGTTTTATCCATAATAATTACATCTCTTAATTTTATTAAGTTAAAATGTTCTTGAGCATCATAAAATTTGTTTATGATATTTCATCCCCTTCGATTGTATCTATAATAAATTCATTGATCAGAGAGCTGTTAGTTTGATTTGATATTTATTTGAATTATTTCAAGTCTAATTAAAGGTTATTCAAAATGCTTTGTGAGTTATATGATCGTCAGTCAAAGTCGCAACAACCAGCAGAAATGATTATCGCTAAACAACGATTATTGATCGTTTTGTTCATCTACTTTCTGTTGGATTTGCATTACCAGTTGTTGAAAAAATCAATAAGATGTTTCAGGAAGGACAAATTGATGTTTCTCTTGCACGGTAAATTATCAAATTCTTGATACTTGTAAAGAAACCAACTTAGCACTGTTTTTATCAAACTACTTTAAGCATGAAAACTTTTCAAACATTAAAAAAAATGAGAATATATCAATTAAATTAATTGGACGAGATTATAATTTGAAAGAGCATATTTAACTACCAATGAAATTATAATTTCGCTCATGTTGTAATTGGTCTAATTAGAATATCATTAATTATAAAGTGTTCCATGTTTTACAGGTATTTTGCCATAGATGTTCTGGATATCATTGAAGCAACCATATTCGGAAGAGTTCATCGAAACATTTCTACCAGTGGTGCTAAACCGAGAAATCTTTGATAAGTTAACAATGATTAAGGTACCAGCAGCAACGCAATTCATTCAAGATATCACAACTGAAACTGTGGGAAGTAATGATGAAGTTGAATTCAACACAAATGAAGTTTTGTCTGAATTGAATATATTGGACACGTGTAACACAACTACTGAATGATATTACAGAATTACTATTATATGTTACGTCCTGTAGACAGGTGAATTTTGTTATCGTTACCTCTGAAGAGAAGTTGCTATACTAGCATATTTGGAAGTATAAGTTAAGACTAGTAATCTGAACATTCGCATATTTCCAAATGTTTGAATAACATTTTTTGATTTCTTCATTTACAGATCAAAGACGATTACAGACATATTGATGTTACTATATTAAGCTGTTAGCATACATGTATTTCATAAATAAGACTTTTGGTATAGAGCTAAGAGAACGGTTTACGCTTACGGATGAATATTTATCATTAGCGATGTCAATTGTGCACATATGACCCTCAGATTCTTAATTGTTCAGCTGCACTTTATGGGTCAGCAGATGTAGATCAAATTAGAATAGAAATGGCTAGATAGTTATACTATAACTAGGAAATTGACTTAAGCTAACTGCTCTAATAAATGTTGCTATACCAATCACATTAAAGTGTTTGCGGTCAATAAAGTTATTTCATAACTGTTGACTTCTTTATTTTTTTCCAAGCCGATTAGTCCTATGTTATAATACCAGAACAAAATCAAACATTTAACACAGATAATACAATTTATATACAATAGGCAGCTTTTCAGAGGATCACCAGAGCAATTTCCATGAACTTACAATATATTATTCTAAAATTTCTTTGGATATTTATTTTGTCATCTTTTCGAGAATGATTTCTTCCCAAATCCCACATAAAAAAGTGTTTGAGCAGATTATGCCATCGCTATTGTCCATCCAAATGCTATAACAGAACACTAATAATTTCGAGCGCCTACAAACCTATCGGATGTCTCCTTCCATTCAGATGAGAATTTTTTACAGTGTAAAAGAAGCAACCAGTTTCTCCTTAGGAGGACTCATTTTACTATTAAGGGTTGCAGCCTCGAACTTACATTTTGAATATCAAAATTACGACACAAACTGTACTCGATCCGCAATTTTGGAATTCTGCGAGCTTTAGATTCCATAATTCAACGATCAAATGTTAGTACTGTTGTGTAGGATGATATTGCTGTTGTTGTTGCTGTTGAGGCTGTTGTCCATATTGTAACTGCTGTTGATTGAATCTAAAGCCATATCAAGAATTAATTATTCAAATCACCAAAGCTAAATCATACAAGAATTCCTCAAATGGGATATGTGAATTCATCTAAAATTTTATTTCATGTATGTAAGAAAGAAATGACTTTTAATTTATATCCTGGTTAATTAAAAAGAAAAAAAAAAAAAAAAAAAAACTGGAAAAAACTTGAAAGCTAAACAACAAAGCACTGACCGAGAATCATAAGTCGCCTGCTGTACCGACTGTCCGTAAGCTATACCACCCCGTTGTTGTTGATGTACAACATATTGGGAACCTCCTTGGACATCTGTAAATATAAAACTTCACATAAAAAACACAATAGAATGAAAATTTTAGGAGAATCTTCCATACGCTTTTTTTTTACGGAAACTTTTACAGAAATGATAAACTGAGAGACAAGAATTATTCGTTTGTGTTGAAAATGAAAATATCAGTTTTACCCTGCTGCATTTGGATTAGTTGTTGTTGCTGGGCATATTGCTGCTGTTGTCGTTGTTGTTGCTGCTGCTGCGTATGATCAACCATTTGCATAGAGTTAGCACCCGTTTCAACTTTCATTATCATATTACCACCATATTGTGGCGGTCCTGCGGAGATTTGGTAGGCTAAATGAAAGATCAGTAACAATAATTAATGATAATATACGATAAACTGTTGTTGGACGTTTGGTATTTACGGCCTAGCAAGCAGTGGAAAATTAACCATTAACATCCTGCATAGATGGCTGAGGTCCACCTGTTACACCTTGTTGTGTTGCAGTAGCACTACTAGCAGCTTGCGCTTGTCGCTTTTGCAAGATCATTGAGTGAATCTTCATTTTTGAATCTTCTGTTGTTTGAGTACCCATTGCGGTGCCTGAAATTTCTTTATTTAAGTCTAAATGCCTTCTTTTTTTTATATTATTTCATATGCATTTTCATTCCGTGTAGTAGAGTGATGAGACAAACCTTTTACTGCACAAATTTTTTTTGTTAGCAATCACCAGCTACCATAGGTTATAAACATTTTGTGAAGGTAAAACAAGTTCATCCAGGATCTCTTGCATGACATGTATATGAAGCTTGAGTTTAAATATCAAACCCGAAGACCTCTAATTTCCTCGAATTTCACATTGCATTATGAATTTTAGTTTCAAATCGTGGTATGAATGCCTTATGTGAAGAAATATTAATTCGTCACCTGCTTGCCCCGTACCAGATGGAGGCGCTGAAGGCCCAGATGCGAACTGCTGCGGTACACCTGTTTGCTGTGGGCCAGTAGCCCAGGTGCTCGGGTATGTAGGCTGCTGAGGTGGACCTCCACCACAGCCAACGGCACTACCCATTTGTTGCTGTTGTTGTTGCGCAGCGGCAGCCGCAGCTGCAGCTGCTACAGCTAGCTGATCAACAGTTTGCTGCCGCTGCTGCCGTTGTTTACGAGTGGTACCTTGAGAACGTGTAGAAAGACCTGCTGCTTTGCGACGCCCTCCTGCAAAGAAAAGAAATAAAACGAAATAGCGACGAGTTATTTCATTTTTTTTTTTTTTTTTTTTTTAATTTTAATTTTCAGGCAATATAAATTTCGAATTTGTAGGATAATAAAACTGATATAATCGGTAATAGCTACCTCTTGCACCTCTTGGCGACGCATTGTTTTGACCTCGTCCTGTTAGATCTGGTAGTGCTGGCATCGGACCAGATTGCCCTGGAAAGATCATCGCCGTAGCAGCGGTACTTGGTGCACCAGGAGTACTAGATGGAGTAGATCCATCGGGAATAGATGTGCAAGTAGGAGTTGAACTTGACTGGTAACTCATTGCACGGCCTTGCACTACAGGACCCAACGTTGCACCTACATCCATGGCTGCACCACCTGAGGACACCGGTACATTCTGGAATGAAAGGAGCCTTACACTGAATGAACTTTTACTGCTTTATCAACATTAAATCACTCACTGAATATTCTAATCACAGAAAGAAGATATGTCAAACACAATCAAAGAAGCTTTACTGAGCTATGCAAAATATCTAAATCAACCCAAGATTTTCCACTGCTACCAGTATGTAATTCTAATAGACATACCGTAGAACTAGCAGATGTAGTTGTTGAGGTAGCTGCACTGGAAGAAACATGATGCAGAGTTGCTGGTGTCTCTGATACATCCATCATCGGTGGTGAAAGATAGATATCCAGATTAGGCGGTCTGTAATAAATTAACATCATTTGATTATATCATTCTAGATCATTCATATCAGCTAAGTTATAAAGTTAATCTTATTCAACCATGTAGATTGTTCCTATTATTCAGCAAGAAAGAAATTAGAATTAATGATCAACAGGAGAACAGGTAGATTTATGATAAGAATTGAAGAACAGCTTGAACTATTTCCATATCTATAATCTATTTATAAGACTCTTTTGTAGGAAAAATTTAATTCACCGATCCATTCCACAAATCGTTGGGCGGACAAATTCATTGTAATGTGAATGATGAACTAAACGCTGAATGTATCGCTGTACAGGGACTGGCAAGCGATCTAGTTTTACCGCCTGTAAGAGTTAGGATTATGAAGAAATAGAGAGAAAAACGAACAATATGACAACAATTCAATTTCTCATATTTTTGGTAGTTCGGCAATCAAATTAGTCACAATATCCAAAGCCAACATGGATGAACAAGCAATTTTATGCTTCAAAAAAAAAAAACCATCTTCATATACGATTTTTGTTGGGTGAATATAAATGTTTGAAATCACAAACCTGTAACATTGACCAGTTCCAAGGACGTTTCAGTAAAGTTGAATCAATATTCAGATATTGTATTATATCGTAAGCCGATAACTTCACCTTTTCAGCAAACTGAATAATAAAAGCTATCCTCCATAAAGATAAAAAGCAAAAACTATCTTTTAACAAACAGCAAAATTGAAATAAACAGCTAGTTATATATAGCTGAAGGTAACAGATGAGTTAGAAAAGACAAATGACTACATCTGATTGCCTACGTGTATTGATGTAATACTTTGAAATACATACAAATAAACCATATGATGTAGTGAATATTTTATTACTTTCTTTGTTTGCAAAATCAAGAAGGAGAGAATCTTTTCATCGATTCACCGTGAAAAACTTGTTTCTGATGTTTGACTGTACAGATCCAGAATTTAAATAACACTGAAACAAACCTGCAACCCGTGGCGATTAGCTTTTACTGTAGTTTGAATTATTTGCCCTTGAGATTGACTCTTGCCAAGTTTTTGAGGTGAAGTTGGTAAAGTGCCATATGGTTCACAAGTTATCAGTTCGAATTGGGGCTTTGGAATAGGCAGAAATTGTATCAGTGAACGAAGTTCAGGAATTAAAGCACGTTCGTTCAGTTCTTTCTATAAAATTATTTTTTATAATTTCTAACTATAAGCTGGACCTCAAATGTCACTAACGCATATGACCACTTTTAATATCTCAATTTTTTGACAAATTATGACTTAACGGAAAATGACTGCAAATTTTATACTCAGCAGTAACTTTTAGTAACTTACTCGCAGTTTTTTAACGATTAAGGAGTAAGTAGGAAATCGAAATTTAGTATCTGGATCCTGTGTATTCATCGCTGCTGCATTCATCGGATCAGTAATCGACCACACCAGCAGAGTAGATAACATATCATAACATGAATCGAACAAATATCTAAATTCGAGTGGAAATTTTTACAGTTTTCATTTAGTAGGCTTAGGTAAAAAAATCACCACTCCTCTCAACAAAAATTAGTTAATAGAAAAATGAAATTAAAATTTAGCATCTCAGCTGCACTATTTTTCATCACATGAACTATTAGACGCCATTAAGGAAATAAAATCAACATGGCTGAACTAAGTAACTAGAACTTTCGATTTATTAGAAGCACTTCGTTTAGCATCCACTCATGGATTTGTAGACATGTACAATACGTTAATTTTTATACTATTGTATGATGAAATGTAAAAAGCAACCATATTGAACCTCACACGATTAGTAAAAAAACAAAAGGAAAATGTAAACGAACGGTAAGTAAAAGAAAAGAAATTAAAAAATTGTTCACCCGTCTCGCTCCTTTGAGATAACTCCATAAAGCATTAATTGAAACAACGTCAATGCCCAGGTATCACAAATAGAAGTATGACATACTGAGTCAAACATACCTCCAACCAAGGATATGCGCAATAGAACTCCTTCACGTTCTAACGAAAATATGCGCAAATACGGTAAAAGAGGATTCTGTAAATATTACAGTTAACAAAATGATTTCTCATTGTATTCCATTATTGCCCACTTTCTCTATATAACTAACACATTTTTAGCACTGTCGTCTAATGCAACACCTTCGAATTTTGAAACGTAAACTTAGCAAAACATTCACTATATAAAAAACAGCTAATAAATTCACCTCAAAAACTCAACATAAAAGAATAAATGGAAAAGAGTAAATGCTGCCACCTACATCTTTAGCTTTTAGTGCCAACTCCTGTAGCTGTTTCAGCATTGAACCAACCAAACCATCACGTTGCTGCTCCTCACCGTTCAAACACGTCAGTACTAAATTCAAGAATGGCTCTTGACTCAGTAACCATGTACTGAAAGCATCAAACTTCAAGCATCTCAAATGGCTACAGAATTTCTCATATTTCTCAGCCAAAATAACTTAAAAAGAACACATTGAAAGAATGTACCTTTGCTGAATTCTTTCCTTATTATTATCCGACGAAGTATCAAGCATTGCTGCTGCTTCTTTGAGGAATTTTCCTTGCACAGTAATCGCAGGGAATGAGGCTGGCAAATTACCCGGTCTTGGACAAGCATGCACCAATGGACTAATCAGCCAGTAAGCTGTGATATCTTTTAACCTGAAAACTTCTTTGTCACTAATATTAATATTTCACTTTCTATTTTGGCATTTCATTCTCAAAAATGACCAAGTGTCATAGCGATTATGGACAGGTGAAGTGTTTTTAATCCAGTATTATTAGTTACCTATTAAATCATGAATAATTTGGAAATGTTGCCAGGTGGATCATAACACTATAATAGTAAACGTACTATAACAGCTTATGGTTAACCAATACTTTCTAAAGATCTAAAAACTTGCAAAAAATGCATTCGGAGAAACTGAAAATACACTAAAATTTGATGGCAGATACAATTTTCGACAAAGTTTTTTGAGTTATTCCTTCTTCTAAAAAAAAAAACTGTGAAAAGAACTGGACAAAGATGTTACCAACGTTACCAACCTGAAAGCTTTACCGACAGCAGCCGGTGGTAATTTTTTATCAGATTTATGTGATTGTGTAAATAAATCGCGACAACATTTACCAATTTCACCAAGCAGTGCATCGGCAGCAATCGCACCCTGCTGAGCATGTTTACTCGTACAACCTTCCGGTGAGATCTATGATAGGCAAATTACCATTAATAATGTTCTAAAAGTTTTTTTTTTTTCTTTTTCGATCAGTTTAATATTTCCAATGAAATAAAAAAATAAATTCTGAGTTAAAGTATGGTAATACAATCGTGATAATTCCATCTACTTTCCCACAGGAGTAATGAAGAAGAGTGTTTTTCAAAGTGATTTTTAATATTATTTTGGATGACGATAATGTTGCATATAAATATGAACTTTCTGTGAATAAAAAAAAAAAAAAAAAAATCAGCAAAATTTACGCAACTGGAAGGGTATATAAATGAATGCAAAATAAATAAATAAAAGAATGATGAACAAGAAAATAGCACAAAATTCCAAGAACTATGCCAATTTTATACCTCTCGAATCATTAACTTAAAATCGAAATAAGTGGCCCGTGTATTCCATATATTCAAAACATTGAGCAGCTTATCGATAAGTGATTTTTTACTATTTCCATTACAAATAGTTAATTCGCGTACTATTTCACGTTCACTACGTCTTCGCAAAGCCATGCGTAATAATTGTTGACCCTGAAATTATGCGTGGGAAGAAAGAAAATAAATCATCAAAGAATTTTGTTTTAATTTAGTCAATGAATAAACAGCAACAAAACTCCAAAGTGTCGGAATAGATTTTGTGTACAAACCAAGCAGTTTTTACGCAGCTGATGAGAGGAGAAGCAATCCAATGCACCATCTTCACATCGTCTGTATATTCGTTGGGTGACCCATTCCTGCTCGCACATTGCCATCAGTACTCCTTTTGACAATTCCGCTATATACTCACGACGAAATACACGTTGATCAATCGGTTTACTATTGCAGACAAACATATATCCAATTAACAGCTAACGAGAACAACGTAAACAAACAACAAAACTTCACGAAGTGTCCAGTTATTCCATGTAAAATGTTTTATAGCCAAGTGCACAATATAATTATATTTTGACTTCAAAGGACAAGTTTACATCACAATTTCATTTAATAATGAGATCGTGCTTTTATTTATCCCAATTGCAGCCTACTTCAATTAGTGACAAGACCTGCCCAGTTTGTTACAGCTTTTTAGAATGTCCTACTTTAATATTATCCAGTTGCTGTTACAATACAACAAAATTCCTATTTCCACAACTTTGCAGAAGTAAAAGCAATAAGTAAGAAAATTTACTCATCCGAGCATCGATCTCTCAGTTTATGCTTGGTGTAATCGGCAATCATACAAATTGCAACCAGCAGTGCACAAACTTCATCGCCTATATCATGCAAATGACCTTCTGTTAAGATCCATCGATCCGCTTTACAGATGTTCGAACTGATTCGCTCACCAGTATACTGCGGTGAAACTATAATCCACATATAAAAGTAGTATTTAACATACCATCTTCTCTATTATACTGTTAGTTCTGCTATTTATTTAATTCCATTTCCGCTAAATAACTTACGAATGATTGGTTGGTCACTTTGACATACAATATTAGCTAGCACCAAAAGTGCTAAACAAACACCTGCTTCTGCATCCGCATCTAGTACTTTGCCTAAAAGTAATTGAAACTGATAGAAAGTTGTCAAAAAGATCATTAACCATATTCTTCAAAGACTTCAGTTTACTACATTTAAAGCATCCGATCAACGCATCCTAATTTTCGATACTACGTCGTCTTGAAGAGCGGTAAAGTGTTTCGAGAAACATTATACTTCTTTCGTTAAATATTTTACATTTTTCGATGAACAAATAAATGTCCATAAGGTAATAGAGTGATTTACTTTTAGCTTTGATAATGATTATAACTAACCAATTCCACAGTTAAGTAATGACTTCAAGGCTGTATGTAATAATTGATGAACCAATGCATTTATACTGAAACAGCTACGCCCCGCCAGAAGCATATAAAATGTCGCAATATTATAATGACATGTCGAGTCTTCTACCTGCATGAAATTATAATGTTAATATCATTAATTTTTCCTTAACTTCACATCTCAAACTTCAAAAATCAAAAATCAAAAAAAAAAAAAAAAACACTTCAGACTTTCAACGCATTCTCATGATAGTACCAAACAAGAATAATTAACTAAAAGTTCCTTCGTTCTGACAAATTAAAACCTTATTTTAGAGAATTCAGAAGCACTTACATTGATTTCCATCAGGAGATCCGGGAATGTTGAAGTCCCACCTTGCAAACTTGAACAACAAAGTGCTTGAAGAGCACCACACCAGTCCAAATATTTCTCTACTTGAGCTGCTTGAGCACTAACATGCCCACAAATATTCGCTAATTCAACCAACCGATCCTGAAATTTCTATTTACAAATCATGTTCCGACACAATGACACTTCCTAACAGCATCTTTCAAGAAAAGACTTCCCTCGTCAGTTTTGTTCAATCTAAATCCTGTTCGGCCAAAAAAAATTCTTCAAATCAAATCATCTGATTTAAATATTACATGTAAATTGAATAATTTTACTGGATGCAAGTAGAAAATATTCGAAGAGTACAATAATATTAAAAATATTATATTAGTTTCAATAATAATGAATGAAAGACCCCTGTAAGTCGTTCCACTGCTGCTGAACCACTACCAATTCCCGTATTATCATTTCCGCCTGCATTGCCAATTCCGTGTACTGCAGCAAGCAATGCGCTGACAACAAAACTGTATCGTGCATCATCTGTTCCATCGATAACTGCATGCAAACGACGATATTCATTAAAGGAAAATATACGCCTAGAAATAATACATCGAATTAACCACAAGTGATGAGTTATGAATGAAAAAAAAAAAAAAAAAAAAAAAAAAACAGTTCCAAGGAAAAGATGACGTAGCGATGTCTTTGTTAGTGTAAAAAGTGAACAAAATTCAATCTCGCTGTATTCATATACATGATAAATACCACTGTAAATATCACCACTATCCATTATTGGTTTAATTTGTCCTACCCAAATAAATGAAATTTAGTATCTTCCAAAATATACAAACTTTGGTTCCTCCAGCAATTCTTTAAAAGTGCTAGCATTGTACGCATATCGCTGTCCTCCACATGGATTCCTATCGCCAATATTGTGCGCCGGCTTCCACGGCGGTATCACCCGTTTTAGCAGTTCGCGTTTTGCTTCAATTTTACGACTACACAAACCTGTAATGGATATAAACAGTAAGAAACAGTAGGTTAGCCGACACGAACTTTCCAAAATTTAAACCATCGCGAACCAGTTTCAATGAGTTGTTTCTTTGCATCGAGTACAAAAACAGCAATAGTACGTCCCCATCCTGTTAAACAAAAATCTGATGATTTCAGCTGACTTTCAATTACCCGGTATAATCTGCAAATACTTTTAAGATGTCGCTGAAAAAAATCACACTATGTCAATAGTTTTGATAGCTAAGGTTTGAGAAATTAAGTGTCAACATAAGCATATAAGTATTATGGGAAAGATAAATTACTAAAATTATTTTAATTTATTTGTTGGCTAAGCTAGCGATGATCTGTATTGCCTGATCTTCGCCAGCCAATATTTGACAACATTCTTGGGTATGTCTTTTTTCTGAAAGTAGATTTTTTTTTTTTTTTTGATTGCAAAGAAAAAAAAAACTAAAGGAAAACAACAATAAGACATACCCTTGTACAATATTCGGTGCATTTTGAGAGTACAGAAAGTAATAATAATTATGGGAAATGTATGCAGTTAGAACATAGCCAAGTTGAGCTGATAAATTACTTGGAACACAGTCAACACGACGCTCCAGAAGTACTCGTTCAATTAATACTAATAGAGGTAGTAACTGAAACATGAATAAATAGATTCTCTTTACTATTATTGCTACTTAGTAAAATATCGTACTGACTGTATAATTCAATTTTATGGTAAAGAACAACAAAACAGCTTTAAAAACCTATTTTCCAAAAACAAATGAAGAAAAAAGCATGAAAACAGCTGACCTCTTCAGCGAGCTCCATAATACCTGCAATATTCTGTGCTAGCTCACACATTTCTAAGATGATATCAAGCCCTTCAGCGGTCGGCAACAGGCAACTGTGTCCATCAACAAAATCCTGCACCATTTGAATGAAAGATTCACAGCACCAGCCACAAAGAACAAGTTGATCATAGTATGTACATGATCTGTAATTAAGATACATAATTCCACAAAGTAAACTGGTGGATAAAATTAATGATTTTATAATCAAATTCCATTAAAAAAAAAGTTATCACTTCGTTTTATAAATAATGCGGTGTTACCTGAATTTAGCCATGCTTTCTTGAACTTGTTCACGTGTAGTTCGCTTTTTAAATCGAATTTCCAACGGTTTATTAAAAGAAAATTCGACAACAATTCGCTTTTGCCAAAGTTTTGCTAATTCACGTGCCAAACGCCTCAATTCCAGTTTCACAGCGTCACGTTCCGCACCAATTCCATATAGTAGAAGAGATCTGCAAAAAAAAAAAAAAAAAAATGGAAATGCAAGTTTGTAGAGATTCAACTTAATAATGAGCATCCAAATTTAAGATCATTTTTGCAATGCTGTTTGAGAATTACTAACAAAGAATTTAAATCTAATAGCAAATCTGTGCTCACCTCTGATTGCATTCGCTTCTATATTCAGCTGACTGCGGAATGGGTAAATGTATCAATAGCCGTTCATGTACCGATAAATCTTTAAATAAAAATGGGTGCTCATCGGGTAATTCAGACGGCATCGTTACAAGTGGAGGTGGTGTCGTTACTGCTCCTGTTAAGAGCGCTGCAGTTGTTTCATTTGGTTGAGATACAAATGTCGACGGAAATGCAACCGTGTTCGATAACTGTTGATGCTGCTGAAATTTCTATGGCACTTCTTTTTTTTCAGGATGAGCAAGTACAACTTATCTGGATTGAAAAATTACAGAATCATACAAAATGCAAACAAGTAAAGGATATTCAAAAGCGTAGAATAATATTTACTTTTTGTTTGTCTTCCTTACGTTTCCTGATTTTTTGCATTAATGGTATATATTCCAACATTTCACCAGTCCGAATTAATTCCTTCATATATAAATCATGGGAAAAAACACCAGCACGTTGCAACTCAATAAACAGAAGCATTAGATTAGCAAACTCTTGAGAAAAACGGTTTTTGTCGGTATTTTCTGGATCCGGCCCTTCTGTCACAAGAAACTCTAACAATATTTCTTGCAGAGTTAACGAACCTACAAAAAAATATCGACTTCTGAAAAGAAATAAAAGAGCTTAATTATAAACCGCATTCTGTAAAACATCATTGCATAAAGTAATAGTGCTGAAGAAACCAAAAATCATTATTGAGCAACTAACTGATATGTGTTAGATCAAAATTGATATTAACTGCTTTCTTTCGACAGCTAATATAAGGCTTTTTTATACCAGCTATCTTAAGGGTTATCTTAACGTTTATTTTAAGCAACCGAGCTAAAAAAGATTTGTTTAGATAATATTTGGTTCCAGCATGATTTAAACAAATAAACATCTGAGACGTATGGTTTACGAAATGATTGGATAATATACCAAATTTAAACGTTTTTCGATGATTAATCCGGAATGCAAGCAGCTGAGCGACAAGTATAGCACGATGAGTACCTTCCCTTTCTACTGTTACTGCCCACTGTAGAAGCATCTTCACGCGGATTGCATGTTCGTGCTGCAAAGCAATAAAGACATATGTGCAAAATTATAAGACAAAAACAAATAGAGCAAAAATAAAATAAAACTGAATATGAACTCTATCAAGAAAAACTATCTCACCTCAAAGCTTTCTTTGGACGGTCCGTTAAAAATCACTGCATAGATCTTTTCGACGCAGTTTGGTTGGTCCAGACGTGCAGCATCAAGTACACCAACTATTTCCAGACATTGCAAAACCAAAGCTGCTGAAAAAAACAAAAATTTTTTTCTTTTTATGAGTACATTTAAATTTAACAAACTTCTTGGACCCTGCATAAAATTTACTTTTAGACCAAAAGAGCCTTATGCTTCCAGAAAGCATTCACGACTACAAACAATCCCATTCAATCTGTTTGACGCTAAAATTATCTGTGATTTAGATTGTTTAGCCTAGTAATATTCCTCGTCTCACTGATGTGAAAACAACTACGTGAGACCTTACAACTTATTTAATTTTCAAAGTTGATTCACGAAATGTTTTGAAATCCTTATAGATGCAAAGAAAAATGTAATCAAAAGAGGTTTGAAAATAATCCTCCATATATTACAGATAAACAGACAATAAAAATCATAATTGTTTTAGACAAACCAAATCCCTTCTTCTGTGCATAATTCAATGACCATTTATTTTCGCAAGCACGAGAACGACGTCGTACTTCAGCCAACCGAAGTTGAATGAACTCCTGCAATCGCTCAGTGCCGTGACCTGGTGGTAAAGGAAGGCTTTCGAACGGACAAGGCAGATGATCCAGTGGTGAACCGCACAATTGATGAAGCATTGTTGGCGGACGTCCTGGTGAAACTGTAGCACAAAAGTTAAAAATGAAAACTTAATTACAGATAAAACAATTGAGCGTTTCGACTGCTCACAGTTCTATTACAGCTATAATTTCAAAATCCTATTATATCTAAAGTACACCAAAACCATAGCTTACCTTCGTATTTATTCCATATCAGAGCAGCAGGGCAATCAATTAATATAGCATAGAGCATACCACAAAGTGTCAAAATTATTGCACGCTGATGAATGCATTGTTGCATATCATCGAATAGCTCAACACAATCCACTGATCTCAAAAACAATCTACTCAAAAAAAGAAAAAGAAAAGAAAGAGATAAGGAAAAACATGAATTTAGATAATCTTTCCTTTCTCAATCACTAATTAGGGATCCAGAAATACTGTGGCATATAATTCTTTATTTTCTAAAAAACGTTGTGAGACAGAGTTATTCTTTACAATAATCTGGCAATACTGTCAATACTATTCTTATATGTGGTCAATAATAATGTTTGCTAGGTAATAAAATTGGTTACTTGAGATAAAGCAACACTCAGAAAAAATATATATATATATGTTTATATATATATTTTCTATACATATAGAAAATATAATATGTTTAAGCAAACCTTCCTTCCCGCTCCTCAGCTTCGTCTCGATACAGTTCCAATCTATGACATACCAAAAATGCACATCTTTTCGATAATACTATATTTTGTGTAATTTGATCCGTGTATTGACAAATAAACAGAAGAAAAAGACGTAGCAATGTGACATAATGGGAGTGATTGGTACTTGAAGCTGAAGCGAATCCGGATCCTGCAATCAGTTCCTAAGAAGTATCACAACCCCTTAATTACAGTTAATATTATAGAAACTGTCTTGCACTTACCATGATGCAAAAAAGGATGAATTAATGTCTTGTCATTCTTACGATTTTCAATAGGCTGCACAAACCGGTCATTGAATATATCCAATAAATCCATCAAAAATTCTTGCTTCTCAACCATTCCATCCTAAAAACGATTGGGATGCATCGGTTTCGTATAAAAATAGAAGGAAAAAAATAGTTATAAGTATTTGATAAAGCGTATGGTAGAATACCAACAGTTTACCTCGTATGCATGTTTACAAATGTATACAAAATGTGGCCATCGATCAGTATAAACAATGTTCGATTCTAGTTTGGCGCTATCGCTCATCTGATTAAGCATTAACTTTATATATTTCGTAAAAAGGGATGCGAATTCTGCAAAATATCAAAGGAATTCTAATAAATTAGAAGATAAAGTATTTAGTCTAACACTTCAAATGATGTGCATCGGAAAATTCAGGGAATTAAAGCAAACATAAATCGTATAAATATGAAGTCTTAATTTTATTAACATTAGCATATGTTTGTAAAACTTCTAGAACTATATCATTACTAATCTAATGTTGCTCTGTACACTTAAATTGAAATCTAACCGGAAGCCAACTGGTCAGCAGTAGATTTTTTCTGTTTGTTCACGTTACTATTACATCCTTGACCACTGACAGCAATTAGTTTTAGGAACCATAGTGCTCGATTAACTGGTACTTTATAATCACATAAGTATTCCAATGCATCTTCCTATGATAGCTTTTAGCATTTAACATTAACGATATACAGTAAGACAAATTCGGATATAGAATGAAGTTAGTTTACTCTAGCTGCTCATTTTATTGTCATTCAGAATTACTAAAAATATAATTAATTTCAAATATGAGTTTATTTTTTTGAACAATTCTGAACAATAATGGAATTATTTGCCAAGTTTTCAGAACATCAAACAAATATAATCAAGACATTCTTGAGACCATAATATTAAGTGTTTAAATTACTACAAATGACCAGATAATATTCAAAAATGCAACCTTTTTGCGAAAAAATGGTGGTTTCCGGGCTAAGACTGCTAAAGGTTTGCCATGAGCTAAATCAGTGAACCAGTCATTTCTTTCCTTTGATTTCTTCGCTTTTTCCTATAAAAAAAAAAAAAAAAAAAAACTGGAAATATTATTGTGGGTAGAATTTTTCGATTAATACATGGATCTTGTAAAATTGAAATGCGATTGATAAAAGGTATTATTTGACAAAGGGAGAAATTCAATTCTGTAAAATGTGTTGGGAATGAAACTTAATGAAAAAATAAAATATTAGGAATAAAATTAATATTGTGGACATAACGTAAGGAATGAAACAACCTACCGCATTATGGCTAAACTGTTGGAAATATATTTGCGGGCCACCTCCTACACCATTCCCTCCGCTTCCAGTACTATCTTTAGTAATAACACTTCCGGCACGCCTTCTTTCTTTATCAAGATTTGCATTTAATTCCATCTTTTTTGCCATTATTTGCATTACTAACTGCGCTCCACGTAACATCGTATCATCCAAACGATCCAATCGTGGCATCTAAAATACATTCCTAAATTATCTTTCGTGACACTAATCATATTTGTTCTATGATTCAAAAAATCATATTTTCGGCAGATATCATTAGAATCATACAAATGTGAAAAATTCGTCCCGTTCAATTGCTCCGACAAAATGAATTACAGTTTAAACCAGGAATTATACATTACTAGATGAAATAATACCTTTACGTTATAAACAATTGATTCATGTTCATAAGATGTCACAGCAACTTGATAACCTTTTTTCAAACGATCGGCTCCTAAATTATCTTCTTCCTGTTTTACCTAAAAAATAATGAACACATCGATAAGAAATAGCTGCGACAGCAATAATAAATAGCAGTTGAAAACTAAAATTTTATTGAAAACCAATATAAGAAATGATTTTCACAAATGGTTTGTGATTTATATGTACAAGTTTGCATTCACAACGGATTAGAATCGAAAATGTTAACTATTATGGTCCATTCACAGATAAATTTGGTTGTAGAAAGGCTTGATTTCGATTCTTCATTTCTATTTTGAATTTATAAAAGAAGATTTTGTAACTAAGAAGGCAAACAGGAAAAATAAATGCTAAAAAACTAACATCTTGCGGATAAACATCGGGTGGTCCTAATCGATTTCTTTTTAGAGCTCTTCTTTCAGGTGTCTGATAATGCCATGATATCACGTTCAAACTTTTCATTCCCATTTTTTCTCTTAATATTCAAATAATCATTTCTGATGCCTGTAAAACAGATTTATTTAAAACATCCAAATAATATATAAGGATGTCTGACAATCAAAAATAAAAGTATTATTTTGAAAAGATATGAACAATATAAAAAACTGTAATTTATTATGTTTGGGAAACACAAAACGTTTTAAAGTAAAAGTAAAGAAAAAGAAATAAACTGCATCTGTTATTCAAGAATTTGAAAATAGACGTATAAACAAATATCACTTGAAAGAAATTTTTAAAAAAAGTGTGGAATTCGAAAAAATAAGCAGATATATTAAATATTGATGTCTGATACTAAAATACATGTATAACAAACAAACCTACGTCCAAATTACGACTGTTGCATTTTGACTACGTGCATCAAATTTTGAAATGAAATGGTGCAGGATAGTTTTATCGTTTTACACACAAAATAGTAACTGACATTTTACAAACGTTGAAATAATAGAGTTGTGAAATAGTTAAATAATTTATTATTAAAATAGTTATTGCATCACTTTGCAAGACAAGTAATATTAGATGGTTAGTGATGACAAATTGTACTATTAGTGATATTATAAAGTAATCTACTTAAGTGAAAATTATTATTAACTGAAATAATCGTAATAGACAGTGTTATAGTGATAATGATAATGAAATCGATAATAATTTTGTTGAAATGACAATGATTACATTAAATGTTGCCAACTAATTAAAGACTGCGCTCTCTAACATTTTCAATAAAAAAAGAAATGAGAGAATAATAATTTTGGGGCATCGATATAAAAGTATCGAATTCCTACAATTATAAAATTGAAATGTCAAAGAAAATTGATAATTATAAGAATTTAGATTTTTTCATTTTTTTTTTCAAAGCAAATATTTTCATCAACTTTCTTTAGTTTTGATCATATATTGAAAAATTATTCTGTGATTTTTTTTTTTTTTTTTAATTACTGATTATAGTATTATTTATCACATATAACTTATTACGTATCATTTTTAGGTTATTGAATGTATGTGTGTGGTAATGCATCATTTCAATATATTGTTATGGCATTGGTGATTGTCATCACTCTTTATCATTAACGTTTTATCACTCCGTTAAAATCAGTGATTAATTTTTACCATCTTTGCTGTGTAAAAAAAATTCGGTATTAAAATAGCGTATTGATTACGTGTTAATTTGAAATAAATAAATGCATGTATTACTTGCATATAACATTCTACATTTGCTTTTTAAATTGATCACGTAAGTTACGTTCATATTAGAAGACGTACGTTAGTTGCGCAATTGTTGTATTCATACGACAACGCATGCATTATTTGCGCATTTGCAAAATTTGAATAAATTTATGGATATAAATAGTTTGAAGGGAGGACAATTTCATCATTTTCTCTATCCATTTCATGTAAAGTTTATTTATTCATCATGATTAATTCTGCAAAGAAATTACAATCTGATGAATTTTCAACAGCTACAACAGATTCTAATATTTTAGATCAAACACCCCTACTGGTATTATTTCGCTAATATATCACTTTGATATCCTTTTTTTTTTTTTTTCAAAGGGAATAATAATAATTTTTATTTCGAACCTAATAATCATAACCATAATTAAAATTCTACTTCAAAACATATGAAGTTGAGTCTGGTTTGAAGAACATATTATAAAAAATCAATGATTAAGATTTATTATTAGATTGGAAGAGAGAAAGAAGAAATGAAATGTACATAGCATGAATGAACGCTAATTTAATGAAGTTGAATCAGATTGAAATAAGAATTATTTATTCTTATTAAATTGAAGATAAGATTAGAATTGATGATTAGTACAAATATATGAGGAAAGCAAAAAAAGTTATTCAAAAACGTTCTGATAAATGATGAATTATATAAACATGAATGAACAATGATTTGATTGATACAAATATGGATGACAGCAAATTATATGCAACAATTTCATCTTTCTCTCTCTCTCATTGTTTTGGTAATTTTTTTAAACAATAGATAAAGGAATAATTAATATTTAAATTTATTAATTCTTTCTATTTCAGTCACAAAAATTGAAGTCAGGAAATGAAAGCGAATTTAGTGCAAAAAATCGTATGTGGGAAAGTATGAAAAGTTTAAGTCAAAATTTTAGCATAACAGGAAGTCAACATTTAAGTCGAACTTCTGAAACTACAAATATTGCAAAAGATGAACAGCAAGTTAGTATGACTTCTTGCAACTTCTTTTTCATCGAATTGATAAGATATAAATGCAAAATCAAATGTTACTTATTTCATTTTTCATATTTTATGCATTCATATGAAATGGTATCTATTAGATTCATATGAAAATTTGTAAAATAATCAATGCTGATAACAATTCAACTACCAACTATCAAATTTATCAGCATATGAAAGAAAAGAACAGAAGCGAGAAAGTGACAAAATAAGGTTAAAATCTTTTAAAAAAGAAACGAAATTTTGAAAATTTTTTTTGAAGTTCATCGATTCTTGAAAACTTATGCCATTTACAAGATAAATAGCAAGGAGGACTAATAAGTAATTTCTGTTGATGTATTCACGATATTTTATCCATTTTACAGTCACAGCCATTTATTACAATGGAATCATTAACAGCTATTGAAGATAATATGATTGAGAAAGTAAGTTTTTAAATTCCACTAACTTTTAAGAAAATCAATTATCAGTTCATCTATTAATCATTTATGAAATAAAACAAAATAAAATTTGAGTAAAATGAATTTGTATAATTCATTTGACTCACTACCGGAAAAAAAGAAAATTCATTCTTCTAGAATACAATCAAAATCAGTCATCGTTCAGGAAAAAAAATTGTAAGTTATTAGTAGGAATTTTTCATTTTATTATTTATTTCTTTGCTAGCAAATTTTACTTCTCTAAATCTAATAATATTATTATAGAAATAATTAGCATCGTTTATGTTAATTAATGCTAATAAAAATTAATTTCTTCTGACCATTTTTCTTACTTATTCTCTGAATACATTGATATTAGCTAGTATTAATTTAGCTAAAAAATAAAAACTTATGGAATACTATGAGTATATAAAAATTTGATATATTTATAAATTTTAAAGTATTTTCGAAATATGTATTGGTATAACCATTAGTTTATGCATAATTAATTCTAAAAGTTATTATCATTCAAACAAAAATGACACTGTATGATGATTTGAAAGATAATCAGAATTAAAAATTAAATTTCTCTCAATTCCTAAAGTACATTTTGCCTGATTTTCAATTTTAAAATTTAGGAGAACCCATCTCTTATATCGTTAAGCACATTTTCAATTTCTTCTCGATTACAAAAGCATGATGACCATTGCAGACGGTAAAAATTAAAATTTCTTCCAAAATGAGACAGAGTTTAAATGAGAAAGAATGTGACGAACTGATAAATACGAAAATAAGAAATGGAAAAAATAATTATTGAAATTAATTAATGAGCCTTCTTGCCCTGAGATAACACAAGTGTAAAAAGACATAATTTGTTGATAGAATTCAAATTTGGCATATTTATGTTAAATTTATTACAAGGCCATGAAATATAATTCAAGGGAATACTTCTTAAAGTGAAAGAAATGATTTGAAAAGTATGAATTAGCCTATTAAATTATTATTCTTTAGAAATAATTTCATTTCATTTTACTCAATTTTCATAAATGCAGACAGCATCGTAGAAAAATGTGGCATACCCGAAGTAAATTGAAAAAATCTGATGATAAAAAGAATGAGGAAAATTTTCTGGAACTTTTGGATGAATATAAGTAAACTTTCAAAATTTCTTTTCTTTTTTAATTATCATTTCGATATTAATTTTATTTAAAATAGTTCTTAACTTTTATGTTATTTGTTGAATTTGTCTTCCATAATTTTCATGTTTACAATAAATCACCTAAACAGTAATTTATCATAAATTCTATTTTAGCAATACGCTAAACAGTTTTTCTGTAGTCTTCATAGCTTATCCAATTGCTGTTTTGACAAGTTAATATCATTAAGTGAAAAGAAATGATGGAATGAATATTTCTAAATTAAAAAATTATTCATGGATTTTAAGCGTAGCATTTTATCAGTGGTACTGAAACGATATCATGTAAATGAGAAATGAATGCACGGAATATCATAGAAAACAATGATATTATTTCATATATATATATACTAAGTATTTTAAGTTTCGCATATATATGTTAAATTTTATGTTTGTATACTAAATAATATCAATAAATTTTTTTTCAAAAAAATTGATTTTTAATTTAGGCAAAAAAAATTCGTTTTAAATTGTGTATGTAAACAAACGCGTTGGAGTTGGTTTAATAATTTATGGGAAATTATCAAAAATATTTTTCGTTTCATTCGACAATTTATTTGGTGTTGCTGTTGTCCACCAATTTTAGGTTATTGTTTAAATAAGGTACATTTTATATATATAATATTATTTCCATTGTCATCTCTTAGGCTTAATATCTGTCCCTTTTTTCAATATTTTTTTTGGTTTTTTTATTATAATCGCTTTAAAATTTTTTCATCTAATAGCACTTGGAGTGCTGTTAATAGTATAGCAGAATTGCTGAATTGAAGCATAGAGAAGTACGATCTTCTAGCAAGCTCTTAAGATAGTTACTTATGGAATAAAGAAAACAAAGCATCAGAAGAGGTTATAATCATTTTGCTTTTTGGAAAAGAAAAAAATTTTTTTTTGAGGTTCTTTCTTTTCTTTTACTTTATTAATTCAAATTTTTAATTTTTTATTGACTTAATTAGCTTGATATGAGCTAATTAAGTATTCATTTCCAACTTAATCACTTTTTTTGCATTTTTTTTAAAATCAAATTAGTACTAAATTTAAATTTAAATTACAAAATTTCTATACTTAGGATTGCAGAAACCAGCCAATTATTTTAGATAGCATTTTGGCCACCACCACGTGAATATTACTTTTTCATTGGTGGTAATGCGAAAAATATCAGTAAAAGTGATCGAGAACCATTAACTCAACAATGTATCGTTCGTAAAGCTAATAAGTGATTTATTTGTTTGGCAGTGATAATATGTCAACTAATTAAATATAGAACTTAAAGTTGTAATTGAATGTGACATTAGTGTGAAAATTAGTAAGCGACGTAGGAGGATGTCAATAAGATATGACTGTGACATCATTTATCCTAAGATTATGTCATTTCTTGCTTATCATTTCATTAAACTTCACATTTCTTAGCTGATATTTCTGACAATGATAAATTTATTTTTTTTAAAAAAAAAGAAAATTAAATGATCAGTTCCGATCAGGAAACTATAAACATATTTTGATGCGAAAAGTTCATATTCCAAAATACTCCAGCATTCATCTGCTACACCAAAAATATTATAAATCCTCACTGTATGTCCATAAGATTAAATTTTAATGATAGTAATGAATTAATCAATTCTTAAATTATCTTCCACCTTTTAAATTATGACAGTCATAAATTTTTAATAAAATTAAATTTTAAATTACAGAAATTGTCTGAAGCGAAAAGATTTGAGATTTGGTTTCGAGCATCAATGTGCTACTGAAGTATTTGGAATTGAATGTTTTGTTACAGAAACAGAAAAGAAAAATGTTAATCATCTTTTTTCATAACTAAAATAATAATTTTTCTTTTCTAAATTTATTAAAAAAAAAATTTTAAAAAACTTCAATATAAACTGCCACAATGTTATATGAAATCGTTAAATTTCATATTTGATACTTAATAAATTGACAAGTTTGGCATATTGTCGAATAATAGCATAATGATAAGTTTATAATTTTAGCATATTGCTTGTGTATTTGTCAGAAAAGCACGACCACGTTATACGTTGTTATTCTCACATCCAAATGGCAGTGATATATCCGATCACCTTGTTGGATTACCTAATTTGCATGATGCAGCAAGGTTTATAATATATTTTATCATATTTCAATCAATTTCAAAGAAAAATTTGTCAGTTTTATCGGAACAATAATTTTATGTTATTAATAACTATATCATCATCACATAACATAATATGATTACAAATCAGTTTTGATTATTTAAAATTTGAATTTTTCAATGTTAATTTGAACATAAGCCAAAGCTTATCAACCATCATAGAAATTACCATAATATAATTTACTCAGAGCAATTCCATTTAATACTCTAATTATTAATTCGATTCATCTATATCGTCAATTGAACAATACCGCAGTATCATTATTATAATTTTAGAAATTATCAGGAATAAATTTTACTAATAAAAATATTAACTTATTATTTTGCTTATCATTATTATCACTAGCAATTTTCTAGTTAATGCTTACTTTTTTTCTAACTGTAACAAAAGAAAAAAGTAAAAATTTATTTCAAATTATAGATTTTTCAATTGTAATATATGCTCATACGATTATAGTGGCTATGGAATTAGTGATGGTAATCCAAGTGAAAAAAATATGTATTCGGATATTACTGCTGTATATAAAGTAAATTATTACTAAATTTTAATAAACTTTTCATCATTTTATGCAGAAAAAAAAATAATTTTTATTCCTGACTTATTATCATAAAGGTTAAACTTTCTTTTTTCGAACACTAATTTTGTCAGTTTATAATTATCTATTTACCTGTGAACTCAAAGTGAATCTTATAAGATTGAAAAGTCTTAAAAATTTCAACCAAAAACTAAAATTTCTGTAAAAAATGAATTTCGTAACATCCCAAAAAAAAAAAAAAAAAAATTAGACAGAATTCAAGTAAAAATATAATACTAACTAAACTATAATTATATAAAAATAAAACCAATTCAATATTTACAAGTTAATACTAATTATACTTTTTTTTTTCAGTATCTTTTGGAAGATTTATCAATTCCAGAAACAAATATTATATTATGGGGTTATAGTATTGGTACAGTAGCATCGATAGAATTAGCTAAACAAGCTAATAAACTTGCTGGCTTAATACTTTTAGCACCAATAGCATCAATTATACGAACAGTTTGTTGGGGAAAATGTTGTTGGAGACGAAATAAGCAATGTGATCATTTAGCTAATTGTTGCGGTGATCGATTTAATAGCGTCAAAAAGGTTTCAAACACTTTCAATTATATAATTAGAAAAAAACTTTTTAACTTAATACACTTATTGTTTATTAGAGCCTTAAGTTCATAATTTTTTCCACTTCTCTAATAGCATACTGTAGTGTTATTTGTTTTACGTTATATAACTTTTTTTTCTTTAGAAATATATACTAATTGAATTAATATTTAATTTAATAACTTTTGCTAATTCCAAATTCCTTCAAAAAAAAATTTTTCTAGCAAAATTAATTTGAATTAATTTTTGTATATTTAGTATAAATTGAGATCATTATAATTCATTCATGTTTGTTTGTTTGTTTTAATTAGATAAGCGAAATTGAAATGCCAACATTGATCGCACATGGTGTGCAAGATATGATTGTGACAGTTGAGCATGGGAAAGCATTGTATCAGTTATGTCCTGGGGCTGTAAAGCCATTATGGATACCTGATGTTGGCCATAATAATCTTGAAAATAGCTCAATGCTATGGCGCAGAATGAGAAAATTCATTGATAGGTTAATATATGAATTTTTTTCTCTACTTTCTAAATTTAAAAATTTACTAATTTTTTTCTTTGGTATTAATTTATTTTTGTTGTTTTTTTTTTTTTTTTTTTTTTTTTTTTTTTTTTTTTTTTTTTATCATTTTTATTTTTGTAAAGCAAAAAAGCACAAAAAGTGAAAAATTATTTATTAAAATCTACAAATTTAATTTTTGCAATGATTTTTCCTTTTATTTCTTATGTCTATTCTTTTTTCTTTTATTTGTTTTATTTTCCTTTTTTAAATATTTTTGTGCCAAATTTTAGAGATTCAAAATATCAGGAAAATAAATAAACTAAAAATAAATTAATTGCAGAGAAGCACGACCACCATTACAACGAACAAAATGTAAATCATTGAAGAAAGATATTCAAAATAGTATTGATTTACTAAATGATTGTAATCATAAGTGTGAAAGAAAAAATTTATTGGTATAAGTGAAGAAATTTACATGATAATCATTAATATGCATTGTAAATTTGTTAATAAAATTTATATTCCATTTTTTCCTGTATTATTTGTACTCTTTATCAAGTATTTATTACTTTTATTTCTAATAATGAATACTACAAATCTTTTTATGAAATATTTTTTTTGTGAAATAAAATTAGTATAGAATTTTGTAAGATGTATTTTACCTCTTCATAAATCTTCAAATTTTCCTTATTATGTACATAACTTATGTTATCATCTTTTCTATTTTAGTTCTTAATCATAAAATATGGCACTTAATTACTTGAAATAGAACGAAGAAAAAATAAGTCGACATTATTCCATTCCATTATCACTTAATTAATTAATTAAATGAAGTGATATCTCATTTTTCACTGAAGTAGGAACATTTTTTGCTTTCAATTATATTCGTTTCATTCAAGTTTAGTATACAAATAATATATTTAAAAGTAAGAATATTTTTTGTTTAAATATGTGAAAAAGGATAATTCTGCTCACACTTATTTATTCAAGTACAAAATATGCCATTAATGAAACAATAATTTAAACAACATAATTCATTTCATTTTAGTTTATTCTTTCTTTATTTTTTATAACAAATACTATAATTCTTTTTACGAAATAATAAACTGGATTAGTAGAAAAGAAAAAAGAGATGAAATAGATTTGTTTATTTGGTTTTAATCTGGGGTTAGCTTTTTTTTTTTTTTTTAATAATTACTTTTAAAACTGAAAAATTTTTTTTTTTCATTTCTATTCATTCTTATTATAATTAATTTTGTATTTTACCTTTGAACTAATGCAATAATTCAAATTACATTCTTTTTCATAACCAAGAAAATATGCAAAATTGTTAGTCAAGAAGGTGTCAAGAATTTTTTGTTACATAGAGCACTATTGTGAGAAGCTTTGCAGTAGAAACATTTTACCTTTCTGCTGCATTCTTTCCTTTGGTGAGTTTAATTTCATGCAAATAGTACATCGTGGCATTTCAGTCGAGAATCCATTAACGAATATGCTTGACACGTTTGACGTGGTTTTTACCATAAAATGTGCACGGTCTTCATTGTTTGATTTCACAGTTTTTGGTCGAGGAGTGAGAAATCTCACCTCCATTTTGGATAGCAGCCAATGTAGAAGTTTCAATATGATTTTTTGGATTCGCTTTCTTGTGTGAGGCATATTTTCTTTCCATAGGGGTAAATGAGAACTGATTTCTTACTTGTTCGTTCATGTTGATAAAGTTTCAGACGAATCCCCTTAATTTCATTATTGACCATGGAATGTCGACCGATTTTTGATGATACACTTTACCGAGTATTCATCGAGGTAGTCCACTCTCGATTGTATTTTCAATGCTGGAATGTTCTAAGTTCTCTCCTAGCATTTCTAATTGTCGAAAAATTCTTTCCATTCTTTCAACAGTTTCGATCCATTCCTTATCGTTTCGTTTAATTGACTGTAGTTCATTGTATAGTAATTTGATTATTGTCGACGAGTCTCCATATTTTTCGGCGTTGTCAACTCCGTTATTAATAATCTGAGCACTACCACTATTTGCCCATCTAAAATTCTCATGCTATAAAATGAAGTATAGGTGACCCTAAAACATTACCATAACAAATGATAGCTTTTGTCGGGTTCTCCATCGAAATTGGGTAGAGATAGCTGAGGAAGGTTGATGTTGGGATAGGATGTCGGCGTTGTCAACTCCGTTATTGGCAGTTTAGAAGTTATTTATTTGATTTCATTATTAATTTCCCTTTTGTACATAATCAGCTGATAGTGGCCTCCTTTGCTTCGTGCTTCAGAATGAAGATATTTTGCTCTCCCGTAGCTATTTGTGCGTAGTTTTCCTCATCTTCTTTTTTCGTTTTGGATTTTTGGGCACCTCTATCCACTGTTTATTTAAAGCTTCGATAGAGTCAGTGCACATTTGCAGTCGAAGAATTTTTTCATCTATGAGTGATTTTTGGTTTTGTTAATTTCGAGTCGTTCGTGATTCGGTAAGGTTGGGTCTGGAGATTGGATATCCATAGTTTTTACCTCATTCAATAATCTTTCTAGACGGTCCTTTACAGTTTTAATACTTCCAATAATAGTAAAAGCCATTGTAATTCTATTTTCCGTCCGGTTCGTGGCACCAAAAATTTTGTCGGGGATTTTGAAGAACTTCTTGGTCAGAAGAGTAGATGATTTAGGTTAGTTAAGTTCACTTGACTTACGTGAAGTTTGTAGAACTTGAACTGAAGCTTTTGCTTCTTATCTGCAAGCGAGATCGACCTACAAATATATAGTGGAGTAATTGAAACAGCAAAGGAGTAAGTGGTACTGTTGAGTGAGTAGGAGGAAGAGAAGACTGCACCGATCGTTTCGTTGTTGTTATCAGATTAAAGAAGGCTTTTAAGGATGTAGAAAGTGGGATGGGTTGGCTTAGCAGATTAACATTTACAGTGAAGACAGATGTACATTTACTATTTGAGGTTTAGATAAAGGATTCATTGTTTCAAAAAAAAAATGGGATATAACAAAGGAATAATGAAGTGGTTTGTGGTGATGAATCATTAGTATTATTCTAAACACTTGTTGTGTAATAAAAAATTCTTCGGTTTTCCGAAGAAGGTATAATTAGCTAATGGAGGAAAATTTTAGCCAAGGAAGTAATAGTTATTAGTATTCATTTGCCAAAACTAATATTAGCAGAAATTTTCATTTAATGAATTTGTAAACGTAAATTTCAAAATGATTATTGATAACGAAGCTTGTTGGTCGAGTAAATATAGATTGTTATAAGAAAAGTCGAGAAATTTTTTTGTAAAATTAATTTGTAAAGTTAAGCAAAATTATTGTTAGAATTATTTCTTCATTAGTTCCTCTCATTCATTTCATACAAATTAATACGATAACAAAACTATTAAAATAAAAACAAAATAAAACCGGATGAACACTTTTCAAATTTCAAAAAAAAAACTTTCAAATTTAACATAACAAAAAATGAAACCGTTAAAAAAATGGTTGTTACTGATTACAATCAAAACCTTACTCTAATAACTGATTCTAATCAGAATCTAACTTTGAATTACTTGATTAATTTATATTACACTACATTTTTGACCTTTCTAGCTTTTAAAGTCACAAATGCAACTTATAATTTTTAATTTCTACATCTATCAATTCTAACATATTTTACGTCAAGTAATTCTATATGATGGAATAAATAATTATTATTAACCAAAAAAAAAATCATTTTTATTGATGTCACCAAATCTTTATCAAGTATGAATTCATTTGATATATTATATTATGCATGAAAAAATTTCAATCATATCCATTGCAATTATTTTGTTTATTTTCATTTATAGCAATCATTTGATCAGTTTAGAAATTGTTCTATCGATTGAATTCGTAGTGCGTTCAATCACTTTCCACTTATCAGCGATTAATGACAATCTGTTTGTGATAAAGTCGGTGAAGATGGATGTTTTGAACGATGATGACGACGACGACGAAGTGGTATAATCACTAAATATTCTGATATTCCCCGAAATAAATTATTTCACATTTTAATGTCATGATAAAATTTAATCCAGTAACAGTGCTTTAAAAATAATTCTATAAAAAATAACTGAAAAATTTAGTTCTTCATAATTTTATACTATGAAAAAAAAAAAAAAAAGAACTCACACATGGTAATTCTGATGGGTAGAAATATCAATAACTTTGACATTATCCTTAATTTCATCCATAAGTCAGAGGTAAACTAAAATAATTAAATTCAAAAATTAATGATAACAAACAAAAAAAAAGAAGAGCTTTTTGTTCCTTTATTTATTCTTTAATTATTAAACAAAAATTATTTTTTCTAGCTATGTGCTGTTTATGAATGAATAATTAATCAGTAAAAGTACGTAACTTATTAGAAGGAAAAATTTTGCATTCGTACGTTGTACTAATTTTTATAGCTTACTAAAATAATATTGGTATTTGATAAATTATTGTCAGAAAAAAGTTACAAAAAAAAGAAACGGAACTGGAGCAACTTGCGTATTCCATACATCGAAGCTAACGGGTTCATCATCTTCCATTTCACTACATATTGTTTGTAATATACCCATTGACAGTGTCACCATAAATTTATTCTGAAAATTATTTTCATCATTATATCATTATTATGTACTACAATTTTTATAGACTATTATTTTTACCATCTCAAAAATAATTATGATCATGAGAATTATTGCAAAAATAATTAGCTACGACCTTGCCTGAGAAATTAGATGTTTGAGGAAAACGTGAAAAAAATTACAAAATACTTCAATATTTTTGTAGTCAACTGAAAGATAAAAATAAATAAAAAATAACAATCATTAAATTTGAATTATCACTTCATTTACGTTTGTCTCATAAGTGTTTCCATATCTTACAATTATGATTCCATATCTTTTTTTTTATTGCTCATTTATGTAAAACACTATGCTGTCTCTAAATTCTCTCATTCTCACAACTGTTACTACTCTTATCACAATTATTCAGTCAAGATTACTTGAAGTGAGCGGAATTGTTGAAAGGAGAATTGTAGTTAATTAAATATAAGCTATTTCAGTTATTCGAAAAAAAATTTTCTTTTTTTTTTTTTTTTTTTGAAGTAAAATGAAAAATTGACGAAATAAATAAAATTGGAATAATGTGAAATATTTTGAGTAAAATAATTAGGAATTATTTAAGTACTGCAACAATATATTAGAAAAATTTGTAATTTTGCACTTACAACAATACATTTAGTAATTTTTTATAAATCAATTTAAAAAGAAATTTAAAAAACGCGAAAAATTAGCGCTGGCGTCAATAAAATAACATTAATTATTTATCATAAAATGTTTAAGTCTGATAAACTCAACAAAAAAAAAACATTAAAATTTAATGTAAAATGGAATAATCAAGCATTAACTTAGTAAAGTAAGGATAATCAGCAATATTATCAATG